ATTTGCAGGCACACAACTGAGTATACTTTAGGCTGAAGCTATTGCATTTGCATCGTCCTCGGCATTCAGTGTTGCAGCCGCATTTTGTCAACTGCTCACAAGTCTGAGCAATAGGTGAAAAGGTTGTACAGAGAACTTGCCAGGCCTCTGCATCTTTTTGCTAGCCCCATTTGGCAGGGCTTTCAGTGTGCATTTTGCAAATTGTTGCCTGGCCCCATATGCAGGCAGCTTGGAAGGCAGGCCGTTTCATATGCTGAATGAGGGATGCGCTTGTCGATGGAATGGCATCATAAGAGCTTTGCTTCCGAGCAAACAAGTCCAATCTTGCCTCATCAATCTTTGCTGTTGTATTGTGCTTGTCAAACATTGTGATGAAAAACTTCTCAAGGATGTTGATGTCTGATTGGTTGGTATTGACTGAGCTATTTGAAGACAGTGCTCATTTCAGGGCAAATCTACCATGCTTGCCATGCATTTTTTTTTGCCTTTACCACGAAAAGCTGACACAACATCACAGCCAGTGAAGGTATGAAAGAACAACATACAAGTGTTCTTTTTTCTTCACCACCATATCATGAATTGGAAACCGCTTAATTGACTGACCCTGGCCAAATTCTACCCAAATCATTTCTAAGCCTGCAAAAAGACTGATTGCAACAACAAGAATATCTGTGTCACATGCCTTAATCAACACAGACTTCATCTGTTGATAGGCTGCATGAAGAGCATGTGTGAAGACTCTGGAGTCAGCTTCTTCGTGGTTGCACGGACTTAAGCCTTCAAGGCTGATGGGGTTGTTTGAAAGAGCCTTTTCTCCTTTGGTCACAACTATGACATTGTCGGGATACAGAATCACTATCTTGTCAGCTAGGAACCTTAAGAGCTCAGTCTTGTTGTCGCTGTCTCGCAGAAAGCTTTTCCAGTTGAATGGTAGTTTGGTTTTGTCTGTCACTATACGTTGATATCCGTTACCTCTCTTTGACTCTGTTTCATCCTTCAGACTTGAAGTCCAGTAGACATCAGATAACGATGTCTGTTCGCTCATACTTTGATGAGTATGTCTGGATCTTTGGAACTTTATCTTGGACAGCATACTCCTCTTGATTAGAATTGGTTCTCGAACTTCGCCTTGATTTTCTGTTGTTGTATGTTGGAATATGGAGATGCTGGTTCCACGACATGATGAAGTCACAGTTGATGAAGGATTATGATCAATGTTATCGATCGCACTTGTGCAGAAGATGCCTTTCCTCAGTTTGTGGGGGCAAACCACGCCTTCTTCAATTTATCTGTTTACAACTGCATCTCCCAACTGAGCTGATATGTCAAGTACTCGATCATATGGAATACAAGACCATGCTCATGAAGCAATTCCACGAGGTGTCTCTTTCTGGTCTTAGCATATATAGACATCCCCATGTAGACCAGAAATGGGGTTTCTCTATCTCTGGAATACCTTTGTGTGGCAGCACCTTCTTTGTACTTGGCAAATCAGTTGTCAGTTGTAGGTGCTCCATACCTTAGCTGAGATTTCATGTCTGCCCCATGCTCTATCATACAAACAAACCGAATCAAACCTGGAGGCAGGGAATCATACACTGTAGTCTCAAATATATTACCCTCAAACTTAGACTTGTGTTCGACCATGTGTCTGCGCAATATCTTAGCCGCTTTGGCAACAATAATTACATCAGAATAGGATGATGCTTCTGAAAAGAATGGACCAATGTCTTTTTCAAATGCCAGAAGTATATCTCACCCTTTCTTGTAGGCTACAAGTCCTAGTATCTCTGCCAAACGCCTCTCTTTTAATCGGGTCGAGTTCACGTCAGGTACGTCTTTCCCAAACTTCTCAAGTCTCCCCCTCTAAAGACTAACTAATTCTGCAAGTCGGAACACAGTGGGCTCATGACTGTTGTTGTTTGTCTCAATGACATAGGTCAGAAGTTCAGAGAACATTAAAGAAAATGCTTCCTTTTCTTGAGACGACTCGAATTTTTCGTTGTTCTCGCCTGCAATGTGTGCCCTCTCTCTGTTAAGCAAGAACAGTGGTATTTAAGTTCCAGGGCCACCACATCTCCACTACTCAATAAAGCCAGAAGCTTACCATCATTAAGTTTACGAGGGCATTCATTGAGCCTCTCATTTAGCTGCATGGTCATGGCTCTAATGTTGGTTCCATATTTTCACTTAAGAAACACCACTGTACTTCAATGCTAGTCCTTCGCAACTTTGAGTGTCCTTGACCAGGAACATTTTGAATTTCAGCTGCTCTTTTAGTGGCACGTTGGAGTTTGCAGTTGCTCAACATTTGGCGACAATTTTGGTGATACTTCGCACTGTCTCTCCTTAATGTATCCTCAATACCACCTCCAATCTGGATGGTTCTAACCTGATGGGCAACAGGTTGGTGGCCTGAAAGTGTGGTATGTTTTGGCTATCATGGAATAGCCATCAGAACAAAACTCATAACGGGTAGGGGGAAACCTCAACTCCTCTTTCGTATCTATCGGACAGAGGCAACACTTCCTCCAATCAGTTTTAGTCGCGTAGCTCAATGGATTATCGACGGACATATTGTATTATACACTAAAGTATACTACAAACTTCAGTGAGTACATCACTTGAACAGTTTACAGATAGTAAACTACAAGCCGATACTGAAACCTATGCTGCGTCTTACAGCAGTGATGTCACCAGTGTGCCCTGATTGTGCTTTGACATCTCTTTTATGAAATAACACAAACCAATAGAGCCTGACCACAGCATTTTAATGAATGAATATGGATGTTGCCCTTCAGCTTAATTCAATATCAATAGCTTATGAAAACGCTAATTATGAGTCATATAATAGCGGCCATCTTCAAAACTGGCGGCCATATTGGAATTCAATTGACACCATTGAGTTTTTCAAGTCAGAATACTTTCATTTTGATGTTTGAGTCATTAACACATTTCTGTTATTCAAGTTCTACTTCAAAAACCATTTTTCATTTTTTTTTTTTTTTTTTTTTTTTTTTGCATTTGACGAGGCGGCCATCTTGAAAACTGGTGGTCATCTTGGATTCTCAGCTGGATAACGTACTTTTCTGAAAAAGTACATCCTGAAGATCATTTGTGCCAAATTTGGTTCTTGTATCACAAAGTGAAAGATTCGGAGGGAATGTTGTCTTAATCTGCCCCACTATCAGCACAAGCTGCGATCCTTGCAGGTTTTTATTTATCATTTAACTTTCCCACACGTTTATTCAGAAAACAAAACAAATGGTATCTAACATCTATGGTAAAGTATTTAAGGTTTGTTACTACATAGCTCTGTCTCTCGTCCACTGCCACCTTGTATACCGAAACCTATTGCATATTACTCTTTCCCTTATGTTGTTCCCTTCTTTGGATGTACCAACGATACCAGAGGATGTGGGTAGATGACAATGCATTCTGCTCATATGATGCAATTTGGATATAAATAGATATATAAGTATATATCTTTTTAAGATATGGACAGAACACACATAGTAATAACTTTCATATTTAAAGCCAATTCGATATAACCTTTATTTAAAAGAAAATCACATCAACGACCAAAGGACTTACACATATGAAAGTTCAACCAGTCCCCTACTGAAATTGTTATCTTGAAAAAAGAAAGAAACAATTTAAGAGACAAATATGAAGTAGATTATACATTACGAGTTTTTCTTTACTTTTTTCTTGACCTGTTGTACTGATATTGGTGACTTTGAGATGTTGCTAAACGGAGCGAGCTGGAAAAGCACACTGTATTTTTTGGTTATTTGAACAATTCGAGAAAATTTGTAACTGCCTTTATGTAAATTCTATAAAGAAAATGAGGAATCTTTGTTATGAAGCAAAAAAATGCCATTAAGTATTAAAGATATCCGACTCTTAACGTGCGTGCCAGTGAGAAATTATCAGAAACTTAACAGGAATGGTTAGTGCAATGTCCAAACGTTGACACCGTAGAAGCAAATTATCTAAGACTTATAACGTTGATTTCCTGTGGCACATATACGACACCTGTATCACAAATAGTTGCATGCATTTAGAAGCATGGAAAAACAAGACATGCTTTTTCTGTTACTACAAGAATACATGCATCGAACAATAACCAGTATTTGATAGTATGATACAATCAAACATCCTACGTGTTCTGAACATTCAGTAAGTGTACGTTACACTGGTTATATGATGAAAAGTCACACAAATACTGCTTTTACTTATAATGACTTTGTAATTTATCCTGCATATAAAATGGTATTTTCTCGTGACTTTTTTCCAGCATGAGAGTGTGCAGTTCTGTGTTTTATCAAGTGCATTATCTGTGAATAACCATGTCTGGTAGGTGTGTATAACTTATCTAGTGTTGGCTTCCTTGCAGTGGAGCATTTACACAACCTTGGATATATGATAATTGCTGGAGTACTCAGCGCAGACATTAAGGATACTCGAAAACTACGTAAGAAAGAGTCAAAGCGACCTAATCAGTATGCTACTGAAATAATTAGTTACATCCGGTGTAAATGTCTAGGAAAGTTACTGAAATAATTATATGACATCTGGAAAAAAAGTCTTGGCAAGTTACTGAAATGATTCTTTACATCCGGTGTAAATGTCTTGGAAAGTTAATGAAATAATTGCTTGACATCCGGAAAAATAGTCTTGGAAAGTTACTGAAATAATTACTTACATCCGGTGTAAATGTCTTGGAAAGTTAATGAAATCAATCTTTTACATCCGGAAAAAAACGTCTTGGTGAGTTACTGAAATACTTACTTGACATTTGATATAAACGTCTTGGTGATTATCAATCATGATCTTAATTAGTCCAGATGCTTCAATGTTGTTTAAAAAATAAAAAAAAAAAAAAAAAAAAACAATATTTTCTGATATCTAAATGATATGATCGATGTTGATATTGCATTTGGTGTTTTAATATGGGTCCGATAATATGACCAGTCACTTTTACATGTAGCAGCACTCTAACGTGGAAACCTGGAGCATCCGGTCATCAACTCAACAATCCAGTCGGAAATAAATTCTGGTAGGAAGTTATAAACCCTCGCAAGTATCTGTACTGACGAAAACAAATTAATAAGTAAGTTCTTGAACAGTGATGATTCCATTTTTCGCCTTTTTCGAAGCAGGACAATGATAACGTCAACACACTATTTATAGGTAAAACAAACGCTATTTAGTATGACAACACAAAACACAATGCATTTATTATTGGCGACCATGATTGATAATATCTACGTGCAGTTCGACAAAATAGAACAGTTGTTATGACATCTTACCCCTAGTTTGTCCACGATAGAGAACGATCCACCGATGAGATAGCGAGCCTTTGGAGTTGCAGCAATGATGGCGTCTTCTATAGCATTCATTACCTTATCTGCTGACATCGTCCGATCCTTTCTCGATTCTTTCTCCATTTCTTGGTAAATTGCGTCAAAGTACGGACGTCCGTAAGTCTGTCTGACGTCCTCAGAGGCCTGTTCCCACATGTAGTCTACCTCCTTCTTTATTCGTTTCACCTAATCAATACGATTTGGGAATTGCATTATGACCAAGATTATTTTGGTATTTTAGTTGGTAATAATACTCCAATCGACAACACCATTCATGATCAGCAAGCTGATCCATCCATATGTTGAAGAACTTTGCTCGTGGTATCTTAACAATAGATAATCAATTAATTGGCAAGCAGTTGATATCTTCAGTGCAATGTAAGGAAACACAATATATTTTGATTGAAATAGTTCTTGGCATCACCTGTTTCTCACCAGTAATTGACGTGGCTCCGTCATACTGTCCAGGCTCCACAACTGAGACGTTCACTTCAAACTTCTTCATTTCAAGTCTCAGAGAGTCGCTCATAGTTTCTATTGCGTGTTTGGTAACGATGTATACGGAATCACCTGGCCAGGAATACCGACCTTTCACACTAGACAAGTTTACAATTCGTCCTGTAAGACAGAGAAATAACAGAATTAAAAACCTTAAGTTCATGAAAATAAACACGTACATGGCTGTAACAATCGCCCATGATTATGGAACATAACAAACACAGGTAATCACTAATTTGAGTTTGACCTGATTTTGCTGTAATTTTGTCCTAAGCTGTAATAATAGGATCAATCCGAAACTTTCAACACTTGTATTGATATTGTATTGTCATGTGACCAAAATTTCATTTTGGATAAATGTGCACATGCAAAATCTGTATTTGATTTAACTAGCTGTTATGCTTAGCAAAGAAAACAATGAAAATTGCGACAAACATCGCTTAAATCTACCAAAGACTTCCAGAGTTATACTAAAGCGAAATATGAGGAGTACCTGATCAACGAAAAAAGTTGAAATTAGTAAGTTAATCAACATATAGGATAACTTTAATCAACGTACTTCGAATGCGAAAATGGAGTGTTCTTGTTAAATACTTTAAAACGTATGTGATATTTACTATGAAACCGTGATAAAATGGTTTCAGATGATGAGGCGCATTTATATGTCGCACCATGGCAGTTCCGGGCAATAGAATACCTTGCATGCACATGCACATGCAAGTTTCTACCTTTAGACTTCAGAATTAAAGCATTTCTTGACGTTTGGCTTTCGGATTATAAGGTATTGGGATTATATTCCATATCTTTTGACTTTCGATTCAGAGGATATCTGACCTTTTGATTTCCGGATCATAGGAAGAAATCCTCGGATGATTCGAATCATGCCGTAAAGGTTAACTTCAGCACATTTCTTGTATTGGTCCACAGTCGCTAGCTCGACATCAGCAGGAAAATTAATTCCCGCATTGTTGACAATGGCCCATAATCCTGATTAAAATGTACTAAGCATTATAATGACATATATTTATCTTGTAGCCTATGAATATTCCATCTCACCTGTAGATTAGAGGAATCCTTAATATTCACATTCTGCTTTCGGGAAGGAACCATAAATAATGTATATGATGGATGACGAGTCTTCTCTTATTTCTAAAATATGCATATTATACATATATAAGACTGACTGACAAATATCTAGATTACAAACAGGACACAACAAATGAGTTTTTTCAACATAAAATGTGTGTCATTAATTCAAATCACAAGATTGGAAAGTAAGAAAACAAGGTTGGGAAAAGAAATCACAGATATAGTATAAATAACAGCATCAACGGCGATATTCGCCTTATCAATCACAATATTTAAAACATAAATCAGAAGTTTTAAGATATGTATTTCAACATTTGAAATACTAATCACAAAAACTATAATATGAATTATAATATAACATAAGTTGTATTAAATTGTAACGTTTGATATTTGTAAGATATATGTAAGTCACATAGGATATTATAACCAATACCTTGTCCGGTCACTTTAACGTATTCCAGAGCATGACTAATGTCTTCGTCTTTAGTGACATCGAGTTTGATCACGTGAAGTCTGCCTGAATCACGTGCCTGTAAAGTCTTGGCCCCTGTACTTTCCTCTCTGAGGACCCCAGCATATACTGTATATCCCCAGTCATCAAGACTCTTGGCGAGAATGTGGCCAAATCCTTAAACATAATCAATGGTTGAAAATCACTCAAAACGACTAACGTAGTAAAACCCGTAATGAAGTTGCAAAGGAATTCTTAACTGAACATTTAAAATCTATAAATGACGTACAATGTAAATAATGTTGCGTGTTAAGAATGATTAACCAATGTTATCACATTGTTAGAGTTTGTATTAACTTGGATATTATAGACCAAAAGAGTTTAACTACTCATTTCATCCACAATTGGTTTCCCTCTCTGTTCCAGTTCTGCCGTTTATGTTTATTTTGGAATGGTTGACATAAACGTGAATGGCGAATGAATATGACGTCACTCAATTGCCATGATGACGTCGCTCAGCACGTGATGATGAAGGGATGTTATTATCTGGGTATGACTGATATATTGCCTTCAATTAGTGAGGTAAAGAAGAAGTGAATTTAAATTGATATATGAAAAACATGACGGGAAATCTGACGCCAGATGAATTATAATCAGTCAAGTGATAGACAACTTACGTGGACGAACCATGTCATTAAACACCGCCGTCAATATCATGGAAGAGATTTTCAATTAATGGAAATATTTGCAAAAATTGTATCGACTCGTGGTGCGTGGACAATTTTACCTGTATCACATCCTGTGACGAGAACACCTTTACGGCCAATGTCCAGCTTGTGTCGGAAACTGTTACTGGTCAGTCTCAGTGTACAATAGACCAGTGAAATTACCAGGAAATATTTCCAGTATATGAGCACAGAATACACTTGAAGCGAGATAAAACACAAAACACAAGTGCTTTCAAACGATACCATATTGACAGGAAGGTTGAAGATAAGTAGGACATTGATAACAGATAATACTTGGACACAAAGTAGATAAATGGCATAGTACCAAACAATTTTAAGTTGGGACAAACGACAAAGCCTGTCCTGATACACAACAGCAATTTTATGAAGTAAATACAATATTAGCTCCTCACTTATTTTTGCTTAAAATATAGTATGCATATTATGTATATCAAATGTAAACTTTCTTTACTTTTCTTATTCTTGCTTTTTTTTCACTTAGGAACGAAATTGGTCTGTACGTTTTTGGAAGGTCAGAGTGACCTTTCTGATAAAGTGGAATAATATGACCAAGTTTCCAAGAAACAGGAAACTGACAAGGATTCATTAGAGTCGTCAAGACCAGCAAAAGACTGAAAATATCTATTCAGAATATCACATTTATCATTACCACCAAATACTGTTTTATTAGACCTATTATCATACAATGGTTGAATATAAATATTTTTTTATAAACATTGTTATCATCTTCCAGTAAGGCCTAGAGCTATTGTCAACGTCAAAAGTTTCATAAAAATGCTCTCTCGCATACGTGATCATGTTGCTGACCTTATTTCTGGCGTTTTTAAAACTTGCAAGGGACAACCCTGTCCTTTTATTGATACATGTATATACCGTGCGCATTTCTAATTTTCATGTTTTCTTATATCACCATTCATCCAACATTTATCATTTGGTCTCACTGTTACATCTTTCGTACGTACGTATTTTTCAAATATTTTCAAAATTTCACCAGTAAGCTTTTTACACGTATTATCAATACAAATTTTATCTCTGAACATTTCACCCGACTTTGTAATAGTATTTCAGATTTCAGCTTGCAAATCTTCAATATTTGATTCACTGTATAACATAACCATATCTAAAATATTTTTTCACCTTGTACACCACCATACCCTATTCTAAACTGAAGAAACGTCTTCGTTCTTTTATTATAAATATATGTTTATGAACTATACTGAAGCGTATTTCGTAAAATTTTTGTCCAAATCAACGAAGAATTATACGCAGGACGAAATCACAAAAATGATCGAGTTTTTGGTTGACATCTTCGTTGACTTTGGTGGTAAGATCAGACTACTTCCATACCTATGGGAATAAACAGCGCCTCTCTGTTGGCTGGCTTGTTTTTGTTGTCCTACGAGGCTGAATTTATTGACGAGCTTATCAAAACAAGTCGCACATACCTTGCAAAGTTGTTTAATTAAGTCGTTTGTCATGTTGGTATTTTTTTGATTTCTTTAAATGCATGAGAAATAACAATATCGACTGTATCACTGATGATAAATGAATTTATTGAACTTAGTTAAATTGTGTAACTCTAAGTAGGGTTGAAATAACTTAAATTGTACTGATCAAGTATATCTCACAACTGGTTTATACGGCTTGATAGCAGATAAACGTTTAAATCGACTGTTATAAGCATGTTTGGAGAAATATCAAAAGCTAGATCTATTAAATGTTTCGAACGATCTTAGAACCCAGATGCCGCATTTTGCCACGAAGGCCTATAACCCACTGTATACTTTGTATCATACAAAACTTATTCTACCCAAACAGTTTCAACATTCACTATTCCTAAGTCCTGCCGTCGTTTTAGAGTAGAGTATTTTTGCATCAATTATGATATTACCACTAAAAGCATTTCTGTATATTTTTTTTAATATAGTATAAAAAAAAAAAAAAAATCCAGCAAAACTTCCGAGTTTGAAACTGTTTTATCTAAATCCGTTTCCGTTAAACATAAGATATCTACATCTTCAGTAAAATTATCTAAAAAAATTCATTTTATTTCTTAAACTCCTTATGTTTGAATGCATTTTGTAAAGACCATGATCAGATAGACTGGTGTTAGGTTAGGTCTCATCATCGGCTGATAGAGTGTAGTAGTCTACAGGAAGTCGGGTGTACATCGCCTAATCATAATAACGACAATATAGAATCAGCTCAGTGTTATGATCTATAACAACTTTCAAAATAAGTACACAAGAACATCTAACCCAATTTATTTACCTTAGTTTGTTGTAGAAATTTCTTATCGCACATCAACGCAACACCAAATCACGGTGGATGTCAAAAACGATAGAATGTTTTTGGTGTACGGGAACAGCGAAAGAAACCGATGAGTGCAGTTGAGATGCAAGTGCACCAGTACCATATATCTATTGAAAGCTGAAGATAATTCTTGGGAAAAGACATGCGGAATAGGGATAAGGAAAAGATGAAAGGGGCATAAATAAGAAATGTAAAGCAAGTTTACATTTGACATACTTAATAAACATACTACAATATGATCTTTTGAGAAATGATCAGTGAGGATGTTTTATTCATTGTTAGACAAACATCAATTTTAAAGTTGCAAGTTAAGCATAGTACCCTTATGTTAATTTAATTTCCCTTGGTCTTTTTAGAGGCCTTAAATGAATGTAATATAAACATAAGATTAAAGGAAGGAATACTGATATAGATAATGTTGTTTTATTAGTGGGCTAATTTATGTATATCCATATTTAGAATGGATAAAACCAGACGGTAAATATTTTTTAAAGATAAGACATTGTTAAGGTTATATCCCTAAAACACAACGCAGATCATGTGAACAGCCCATCTGTTTCATTGTTACATAAACCTGTGGCACTCACAGACACCATACCTATCTGTAATGATCATTGTTTAAGGACAGTTATCTGTGAAATGTCCTCGTCTGATTATCCCCCGTCCAACAAAGTTGACAGGGAATTTTCAAATGGGTTCCATCCGTCCATCCGTCTGTCATTCAGTCCGTCTGGATGCTGCTTTCCGCGTGATATCTTTTGAAGGACAGGTCGGATTTTGATGAAACTTGGTTGGTACACTTATTTCCTTAATCCCTTGCCCAGCCGACTAGCAGCAAATTCCGCACATATTTAACGAGGCTGCTGTGACCTGATTAGCTGATTTTTTAATCACTCTTGGATGCTGCTTTCGGCATCAGATCCTTTGCAGAACTTGTCATATTTTGATGAAACTTGATTGGCAGACTTGTTACCTTACAACCTTGTTAAAGTGAGATTATCAGCAAATTCTGCGAATATTTTACTCGGCCATTAACTTACTTTTTACCCAAGGAAATATTATCTTTTATCAACGTCCTACTTATCTCCAATCTTCCCGTCAATATCGTTTGAAAGCACTTGTGTTTTGTGTTTTATCTCAATTCAAGTATATTCTGTGCTGATACACTGGAAATATTTCCTGGTAATTTCACTGGTCTATTGTACACTGAGATTGACTAGTGTTAATAGTGAAATTTGTCACTCAAGTGTAGAACATAATTTGTGTTAAATCTTAATGTGACTGGCTGGCTTATCAGACAGATAGTTTAATTGCGGTCACCTTGTGTCAGAATCATGCCGTGAAACATTGGCTGGACATGCTCTTCACCATGGAGACATTAACTGGTCACGGTTTAATTGTAGATCAGTAGAAGACACTTTCCCTATCAGAATTAGATTATAATTACTTTAGGATGAACTGTAAGATCACAGCAAATAGAGTCAGTCCTGGTGTGGCCGTGGAAGGAGTAACTTGTTAAGCTCGATACTCAGGCCATACATGTTATCATTGTTGTAACTTGTGTTAATACTCAACATTTGTACTTGAGAACGGTTGTTGCTGGTCTTTTGTATAACATAAGGATAGTACAACATAGAGGGGTAACATATTCTGGTGGCAGCGGTAAAGGATCATTCTAAGGAGAAGGACTCCGTTATCAAAGATATAACGCTCATTAGAACTGTTTAATATGTCGACGCCTGAAGAAACGGAAACTGCGAAGATGACGGCAGCACAAACAAAGTTGGAAATAAGAAGACTCGAAATTCAAGCAGAGAAAGAGGAAAAAGAACGCCAAATGAACTTAGAAAAAGAAAAACTTCAAGCAGAGAAAGAGGAAAAAGAACGCCAAATGAATTTCGAAAGAGAAAGGGTGACGATGGAAGTGGAAAGAGAAAAGATGAGAATGGACGCCGAAGAAAAGGAAAGAGAACATCAAAGGGAAGTGGAAAGAGAAAAGATAAGAATGGACGCCGAAGAAAAGGAAAGAGAACATCAAAGGAAAGTGAAAGAATTGGAACTAGAGATTGAAAAAGCAAAACTTCAAAAGGAACGGAGTGAGACAAATTCTAACCCTGTGCCGTTTAGACTGAAACTTCAACCTTATAATCATACTGAAAGTGAGGATATAGTGACATTCTTATCAGAGTTTACTGCTTTATCAACACAGGCTGGATGGACAGAAGAAGTAAAAATGCTACAGCTGAGAGCCTTGTTAACAGGTGAGGCCAGAGAGGTAGCTATTCAAGCACACGGGTCATTTGAAGAACTTTGTAAAGCCCTAATGGACAGGTACGGGAAAAGGCCCTACCAATATTTCAAGCTATTACAGACAGCCCAAAGGGAACCTAAGGAAACATACAGAGGACTTATGGCAAGAATTGAACAATATCTTACTAGATTTGTGGACTCAGTAGAGGATGTCATGGAAAAATTCAAAGAGGAATATTTTCTTAGTGCATTGCCAGTGTCACAAGCACAATGGATACGCCGTAACAAAGGGTCAAGCAGTGTGGTTGAAGCCGCAGAGGATTATATTCTACCTGAACGGAATATAAACAAATCAACGCAAGGTAAAAGTATAAATGGAAAAACTTTTACCTCTGATCGGGACCAGAGAAAGGAGCAATCGACAGAGCAAATGAAAAGTGTGCAGTGTTACAATTGTAACAAGTACGGGCACTTCGCGAGGAAATGTCCAAAAAATAGAGAAGGTAAAAATCTTGCAGGATTTTTAGTGCAACAATACACGGGAGGACTTATCCATGTCCCAGGAGAGGTCAATGGCCGTGATATTAGTTTCGTGAAAGACACTGGGTCAGCGATGACCTTGATTAGGGAAGACCTGGTGGACCCAAGTTGTGTATTAGAGGGTCAGCGGGAGACGATGTGTACAGCGACTGGACAGCCGTTTTCAGCCAAACTGGCTATCGTTGATATGGACACGCCATATTATAAGGGACATGCTCAGGTCGGATTAGTGCCTGACCTTGTCGCTGAAGCCCTGTTGGGGGTAGACATCATAGAGAGACAATCAAAGGCTGTGAATGTTGTTACGCGTGCACAACATCGTAATAACATTGCTGAAGAAAGGCTAGCTGAGGACAAGGCAAAGGAATGCCATGTAAAAGTTGGAATGGACCCCGACACGGACCAAGTGGATGCCAGTAAGGGAAGTGATGTTGGACAGGCGAACGATGTGGACCTGGACCATGGCGATGGCGTTGGTGAGGACATTGACAACATCAGTGAGACTGTATCCCACAGCAATGGGGATGATACAGTTAACATCACAACAGAGGAACCGCTTGAACTTTCTGCTGTAAATGCTGAAGTGCTTAGTAAGCTTCAGCAGGAAGATCCAACTTTAGCCAACATTCGGAGAAAAGCTGCAAGTTCAGAGGAATCTGTGCAGGAAGATAGGAATGCCCTGTACTGGGAAAATGGGATTCTCCGTAGGAAATGGGAGTCTAGTGATGGAGCCCAACATGGAGTCCAGGTAGTACTACCAGAGGCACTACGTCTCAATATCATTAAATTGGGACATGATAGACCACTTGCGGGACATTTAGGGATAGAAAAGACCAAAGAGCGTGTCGTTAATTCGTTCTATTGGCCAGGAATTTTTAAGGACATACAGGAATACTGTAGTACTTGTAACGTATGTCAAAAGACCGTCAGAAGACGTGGTGGCGAGAAAGCTCTATTAGGACAACCACCGATCATCAGTGAGCCATTTTACAAAATATCTATGGATATTGTTGGGCCACTGTCTCGAACAAAGAAGAAGAAGAAAAAAAAAGAACACTGACTCTGGATGTAGTTTTAAGGTTTTGTGATGTGTATACCTTAAGAACAAACAGTGACAGTCTAACAGAAGTACCTTATCCAAGGAAGTTAACAGTATCTGAATCAGATTTATGAACTGTGTTAATTGTAGAATTTAGAATTAACTGTTGTTCAAGTAAACTTTACCAGTGTTTTTGTACATACTAGATATTATCTCAGCCTGAGTATCATGAGCAGATTGCTATCTCTTGAACTTTTAGACCGTAAAAGTTTTCTTAGGCAGGGGGATGTTAATAGTGAAATTTGTCACTCAAGTGTAGAACATAATTTGTGTTAAATCTTAATGTGACTGGCTGGCTTATCAGACAGATAGTTTAATTGCGGTCACCTTAGTGTCAGAATCATGCCGTGAAACATTGGCTGGACATGCTCTTCACCATGGAGACATTAACTGGTCACGGTTTAATTGTAGATCAGTAGAAGACACTTTCCCTATCAGAATTAGATTATAATTACTATAGGATGAACTGTAAGATCACAGCAAATAGAGTCAGTCCTGGTGTGGCCGTGGAAGGAGTAACTTGTTAAGCTCGATACTCAGGCCATACATGTTATCATTGTTGTAACTTGTGTTAATACTCAACATTTGTACTTGAGAACGGTTGTTGCTGGTCTTTTGTATAACATAAGGATAGTACAACATAGAGGGGTAACAACTAGTAACAGTTTCCGACACAAGCTGGACATTGGCCGTAAAGGTGTTCTCGTCACAGGATGTGATACAGGTAAAATTGTCCACGTACCACGAGTTGAACAATCTTTGCAAATATTTCCATTAATTGTTAAATCTCTTCCATGATATTGACGGCGGTGTTTAATAATATGGTTCGTTATCCTAAGATCTTATTACTCATCTTCCGTCAGATTTCCAGTCATCATTTTCATATATTAAGGTAATTTCGCTTCTTCTTTACCTCACGAATTGAGGGCAATATATCGGTTATACCAAGATGATAGCATCCCCTCGTCATCACGTGCTGAGCGACGTTATCATGACAATCGAGTGACGTCATATTCATTCTCCATTCACGTTTATGTAAACCATTCCAAAATAAACATAAGAAGTTCAATTAACAATTCCTATGCAACTTCATTACGGGTTTACTACGTAAGTCGTTTAAGTGATTTTCGAACAGTGATTATGTTCTAGGATTTGGCCACATTCTCGCCAAGAGTCTTGATGACTGGGGATATACAGTATATGCTGGTGTCCTCAGCGAGGAAAGTACAGGGGCCAAGACTTTACAGGCACGTGATTCAGGCAGACTTCACGTGATCAAACTCGATGTCACTAAAGACGAAGACGTTAGTCATGATCTGGAATACGTTAAAGTGACCGGACAAGGTATTGGTTATAATATCCTATATGACTTACATATATCTTACGAATATCAAACGTTACAATTTAATACAACTTATGTTATATTATAATTCATATTATAGTTTTTGTGATTAGTATTTCAAATGTTGAAATACATATCTTAAAACTTCTGATTGATGTTTTAAATAGTGTGATTGATAAGGCGGATATCGCCGTTGATGCTGTTATTTATACTATATCTGTGATTTCTTTTCCCAACCTTGTTTTCTTATTTTCTAAAATTGTGATTTGAATTATTGACACACATTTTATGTTGGAAAACTCATTTGTTGTGTCCTGTTTGTAATCAAAATATTTGTCAGTCAGTCTTATTTATGTACGCCCTGTACAATATGCATCTTCAGTTTCATTATAAAACCTCTGAAAGTTATCTCCGCTGTTTGGGACGATGGCGACTCCGAATGTGATCCTGATATCGCATCCCCTGTCTTGTTATTATCGTTTAATATCAAAAGTTGACCTTATAACGCGCCATGTATTTTAATTCCCCTCTGAAATAGAAACAATTAGAAGAAAAAACTACCGAAAAAAAATTTATAAACTATATTGCTTTATCAATTGTAAGAAAATGTATGTATTCCAGTTAGGATAACATTATTGTTCTCAGACATATATCAAAAAACTAGAGATTACAGAAAAGAGTTCTACGTATAATTATGGATGTTGACTACTCTGTATCAGGGGATGAACTATTCACCAAACTCAAATGGTTACCTTTTAGCAAAAGAGTGAACTACAATGAATGTATATCAATGTTTAAAGTAGCTAACAAACTGTGTCCAAACTACTTGGACTGTAATATGCTTGTGTCCAATGTACACAGTAGACAAACTAGGGTATCTACTGCTGGTAACTATATCATACCTAAACACAAAACTGAAAAGTTTAAAAATTCCTTCCTATATACTGGACCAGCTTTGTGGAATCAGTTTCCAGTAAATATCAGACAATGTGGAACCTTACCAACTTTTAAATTTCATTGTAAAAAATTCATCTCTAATTTACCAACCTAGATCCACATTTTTATGCCAGTCTTATTTTAGCCCTAAGATAGTATGGTACCTTTATGAATGTTGCCAATTAATTGTTTCAATTATCAGTCCTGTATCCCTTACAAAACTTCGCTAATTTAGTCCTTTTATCATATTATTAGTCACTCTATAACCTTGATATATACCTCTTCACTATGTGCCTTTATCATACATTTGTTTTATTGATGTACATCTTAGTCCTTCATGATTATGCTAGTTTACTGTGATATTTGTGATTTTTATATCATATGTGATGCTGTAATCTTAATGTTGTATATATTGTACATTTTACTGTCGGCCACTTGTTAGAAGAGTCTTGTACTCAAAGTGTTATCGACTCTTAAATAAAGTCATTTATTATTATTATTATGTACACAAATTCATTGGAAAATTATTGATGATAATGATCAGAGGTTACATGCCAATCCTTCCCGCTCCTGCCTTCAAGGTCATCGGTAAGGCAGTATGGAAACTAATAGATGTACATTTGATACATAAACATATACCATTTATGTGGCTCGGTAACGTTGTACTGACATTACAAACTGGCCTAAACGTCACTGAATGATTGCAAGTTCAGCACTGTGCGGGAAAAGATGAATATCCTGTCATTTTGTCCAATATGATGTCCGATAACCAGGTGGGTAGGAAGCTATAGACACGTGCAAGCATCTACAAAATACATTTGAAAATCGAAAACGTTTCAGATACGCAGTTCCTTAACCAATTATTTCGTATGAGCAATATAATAATATATATACCCCGGTAAGTAGGGGACTCTATATTTGTAAAGGTGTCAATTATCGCAATCATCTGTTGAGTAATGGAAAATGTGAATGGCTGTTATAAATTTTATCTGTTGAAGTTTCTTTTTGACAAAATAATATACTTACTGTTATAAAGGGTTGCTATAATAATTTCAGAAAAAAATACTCTATATTTTTATATTTTAGATAATGGTTGACTGGCGCACTTACAGCGTATTGGTCGAGAAAATATCCTGGCACCAGGTATCTGATGTCTGGGTTTACGTTGATGATGCCGTCCTCTACGGCGTCAGTAAGCGGGTCCATAGATTGCGTGCCCTGGTTCTCATATGTTCGCTTCAGATTTCGGTAGAGGTAATCACGTTCATATGTCATTTTAACGTTATCTGAGGCGTGTTCCCACATGTGGTCTGTCTCCTTCCGGATTCTTTCCATCTACACCAAAAACAAACAAAAAATAACCAACAGAATCATAGGTTCCATATAATTATATTAGTTGAATTGTTGTAACGAGTGGAAAAAGCTGGATAGCTTGGTTTAAATAATTGTCTCTAATGTCTCAGGAAACAGACACTTGACTAAAGAATATCACACGCTACGCCGTATCACTTTCTGACAAACGGACCTCGGTGACTCGGTATTCGATATCAAACTGATTTAATTTTGACATATGTATGTACATTTTAAATGCTCATTTACTGTCTGTTTCTTCATTTAAATACTCATCTCATAAACACGTATGAAATTCCCTTTTTGTATTCTATCAAATAAATATCATAATGAAATATCAGCAATATTTTGACAATGAGGATAACTATGTTGTCTTTCGGTATGCACAATGTAAATATGAAAGTTGCTGCCAGTAATGGTGATGATGGTACATCAAATCAGGCGGATCAATCCATCGTGATTTAGTAATATTATCAACATAGAGAAACCACCTCTTGGCTGATTATATTCAGGTAGTGTTGTTTCATGAAATAACTAGACTGTTTTAAAGAAGACAATTGTACACATGTGTAGATGCTATTTCACTAAACATTCCTTGCTTCCCTCCAATTTCTACAACTTGCATTTCTTGTTATTTTTCGCTTTAATAGTACCATATCTGGACTGCTGATAGACGTCGCATTGCCAAAGTCTCCTGGCTCGACAATCACCACCTTCACTCCAAACTTCTTCATCTCCATTCTCAGTGAGTCACTCAATGTCTCTAAACCATGTTTAGTCACATGATACAGCGAATCACTCGGCCAGGAAAATCGTCCCCTTACACTCGAAACATTGATGATTCGTCCTAAAAGATATATTTATTATCAAACGTTACAGTATATTTGTATATATATCAGTGAAGATTTCTTGTGTCTATTCAAAAAACAGCACCAGAAAGTTCCACATAGACCTTACTTAAACATAGACCTGACATCACCCTAGATCTTACCTCAACGTACACATGACATCACCCTAGATCTTACCTCAACGTAGACCTGATATCGCCCTCGATCTTACTTCATCGTAGACCTGACATCTCCCTAGATCTTACCTCAACGTACACATGACATCACCCTAGATCTTACCTCAACGTAGACCTGACATCGCCCTAGATCTTACTTCATCGTAGACCTGACATCTCTCTAGATCTTACTTCATCGTAGACCTGACATCTCCCTAGATCTTACTTAAACATAGATCTGACATCTCCCTAGATCTTACCTCAACGTAGACCTGACATCGCCCTAGATCTTACTTCATCGTAGACCTGACATCACCCTGGTCTTACTTCGTCGTTGACCTGAAATCACCCTAGGTCTTACTTCATCGTAGACCTGACATCTCCCTAGATCTTACCTCAACGTACACATGACATCACCCTAGATCTTACCTCAACGTAGACCTGACATCGCCCTAGATCTTACTTCATCGTAGACCTGACATCGCCCTAGATCTTACCTCAACGTATACATGACATCGCCCTAGATCTTACTTCATCGTAGACCTGACATCGCCCTAGATCTTACCTCAACGTATACATGACATCGCCCTAGATCTTACTTCATCGTAGACCTGACATCTCCCTAGATCTTACTTCATCGTAGATCTGACATCGCCCTAGATCTTACTTCATCGTAGATCTGACATCGCCCTAGATCTTACTTCATCGTAGACCTGACATCGCCCTAGATCTTACTTCATCGTAGACCTGACATCGCCCTAGATCTTACTTCATCGTAGATCTGACATCGCCCTAGATCTTACTTCATCGTAGATCTGACATCGCCCTAGATCTTACTTCATCGTAGATCTGACATCGCCCTAGATCTTACTTCATCGTAGACCTGACATCGCCCTAGATCTTACTTCATCGTAGATCTGACATCGCCCTAGATCTTACTTCATCGTAGATCTGACATCGCCCTAGATCTTACTTCATCGTAGATCTGACATCGCCCTAGATCTTACTTCATCGTAGATCTGACATCGCCCTAGATCTTACTTCATCATAGATCTGACATCGCCCTAGATCTTACTTAAACATAGATCTGACATCGCCCTAGATCTTACTTCATCGTAGATCTGACATCGCCCTAGATCTTACTTCATCGTAGATCTGACATCGCCCTAGATCTTACTTCATCATAGATCTGACATCTCCCTAGATCTTACTTCATCGTAGATCTGAGATCACCTTAGAGAGGTAAGCTTATTTTGCTTCATCTTAGGTACCCGCCATGTAAATCATGGTAGATGCAAGTAAGTAACTTCACTTTCAAAAATGAAAACAAGTTGAACAACGACGGAACCACTAGGCATACTAACGAGCATCAAACACGTACAATGTCATGTTGCACAAGGAAATAAGATATTTAAAGATCTTACTAAACACTAGAAGTGACGTAAATTTTTACTGTACATACCTTTCGATTTGCGGATAAATGGTAGGAATGCCTTAATTATGCGTATTGCTCCATACAGGTTAATTTCGGCACATTTCCTATACTGTTCGACCGTCGCCAGTTCCACGTCTCCTGGTAGATTAACTCCCGCATTGTTCACCACCGCCCAAAGATCTGGAAAAATCCACAATCGATTGGAAAATGCGATAATCTATAATAATAATAATAATATTGTCAAAATACAATTTACAATGATCCACTGTACGAGCTTACTGCTGTAGAAAAAGTACTTTCGTTGATTAGATAATTTGTGAGAAGATTTGCTTCCCTTTTACTAACAAAATAAAAAAGAAATCATTTACAACCCATATGTTAGGATCTTATAATCTACTTTTGTGAATTTTACCACATGTTTAATCTTAATCCGTGATGTTTGTATTTGATAATTCAAAGAGCTGTATGGACATGATCGGAGGGAAGAAAAGAGTATCTAGCGGTAAATGGTGAATGGTGGTACTGCCGTGTACAGTAGGAGTTTGTTTTCGTGTTATGTTTTTCAACGAAGTATTGTTATCATGTCCAAAACTTGTACCTGAACTTAGAACTTCTCTTCAGATTCAGGCGGGGGCCATTGAAAGGGCAATGATGAGGTCGATACCTTATTAACATTTGATAAAATCAACAGTTAGTACAAACAAGTTAGTCTGATAAAGAATGATATAATCATCAGCAATCTAGTTAATTATCTGACATTTACATAATAATCTGAATTATGAAGATATAATCCATTCTCATATCGGAAGACTAGTGGACTATTACTACATGTTTTATAAAATAGGGCGTGTTATCAGTTGATAAACTGTGTCATTTTGCCTTAGTGTTACACTTATTTATATGATTGTGCCACCAGAGTATAGAGAATTTCATAGATATTGAGAAATGTGTCTTTGTTTAGTTGTAATGACTAGGTGAGGTAAACAAACCCTACTTCTACAACCTTACTAGACTATTCAAGCCCAAAGAAGTGAAATTTGATCCTTCAATACAAACTCAATTTGACGTAGTAGTCCCGTTACTCTGTTATCTGACACAGACATATGTGTTGTGTACACGTGTGTTGGACCTAGGGAAAAGGGAGGAGAGGATTGAGTAGGCACCTCCTTTGTTACGCTTCACATATTCTGATACTACTTCAACATCTTCCTCTTTTGTCACGTCGAGTTTGATCACATGTAGATTAGTTGATTTACGAGAACGTAAAGTCTCGGCTCCATCGCTGTTTTCATTCAGCACTCCTGCGTATACTTCAAACCCACTGTCACTTAAGCGCTTGGCAATATGATGACCAAATCCTGTATTAAAGATATTGAATGATGTATTTACAAACATGTGTAGTTAATTGAAAATAATCGAGAAACTTATCAATATGCTCTATGTCTATACACACATTACTACGTCATCACTACCACTCTAAGGCTATGGTAACCAGGTCACTTTTAGTTGTGGTAAGTATGTGGCTTGTACTGTACCTGTGTCACATCCTGTTATAAGAACCGCTTTCCCAGCAATGGTCAGTCTCTTTTTCTGTCTGGTCAGCCGAAATCCTATATACAATAGAACTAGACTTAACGAAAATTTCCAATAAACGATCACAATGTAAATATTTAATAGACAAAAAGCTGTAAGAAGCAGGAATTCCGCGTGGCGGATTTCCACCATCTTATAGCCTATATACTGGAGCGTTCCCGCAGGACTACGGAAGAACCTAAGGGACATCGATGCTGATTGGTCAATATCAAATTCAAAGATCTTGATATGTGTCTTGGTAGAGATGAGGGCTCGCGAACAAGTATTATTAGGTTCAGTAATATAAACCTGTCCATTGTTTTAAGATACAAAAAGTAGTATTCGCGTTGTTATTATTATCAATAAGGCCATTAATTTGTAATATCGTAATTCTATTGTAAGTCATCAGAAAGAAAACTTGTACATTGGACCCTTCAGCTGAAATGCCTATATCCATGATATCCATATATCGTCACATTACACAGTCAGAAAGGTTTCGATTTATGATATTAGAAACAAGCCCTTAAATATCGAATCAAACTGGTAGATTTTTAGGGCAGGAAGAGTCATGTAGGGAAATCGAAAACTCACAAACATCACACTCATCGAGCAGTTTGGTAATCAGATGGCAATGCAGTGTCTTAAAGTTCAAGAGGGTAGTGATTGTGAAATTATCTAACAAAATTGTCTTGAAACAGATACATGATAATACATTGGTCTAGGGACACTGTTTGTTCCCATGAATGTATCAGTAGGATGCAAAATTCTATCTGTCTTCAGTACCAAACACTTGTGATCAACAGTGGATAGTGAGACACCAGAGTGGTAACAATCACAGACAGATGAGCTGCTCTTAAGATTGGTTATTGAAATTTTTTGACTTATATACAATATAAGCTACGTTCACGTACACATATAAGGATGCATGCAATTATTATAGCAGGGTAGTAAATAACAGCCACATTTATACTTTTTGTTGCTTGGTCAGATTTGCTATTTTTTAAAAGGTAAATAATGTCTCCGTGTTTATAATGAAACACTGCATTTTAAGCCACATTATAATTGCTAAGATAAACAGCACAGTTAGGGAATGCAGGCAAATGATAATATCACTGTCTTTAATAAATGGTAACCAAGTGATTAGGACCTTTTGTTACGTTTAGAACTAGATATAGGTAAATGATGAATTAACCTTTATTATGTAACGGTTTTGTCTTTCTAGGACTCGTCGTCAGTGATGCAAAATTTTAGAAACCTAAGAGGCGGCAGACAAGCCAACTTTAATCAAAAGACTTCTCAAAATATAGATGAAGAGGTGCGCTATTCCAATAATTCAATAAAAATCGTTTTATTTAATTATCTAATGATTTTAGAAGAATGAAAAGTACATAAATATACTCTGAACCGCGTCAGTATCAGAATGAAGTAAAACATTGTATGCATGTTACAGCGAACCTCGACGACATTACGTCCAGCAGTAGTGTCGACCTTGTCTGTTTACTTGGATTTACCACGATTTACATGGCACGATGAAGCAGAAGACGATTACTCTTCCGAAACACATGGTCTCATTTTCCATATATGTTTCAACTGTAAATCTTTCTGTTGTTCATATTTAGCAATATTTTTATTGAATAAAAGTGTGGACTGTGGTTTTGTTCACATATTGGTATTTTCTTGTAGTAGGATTGACCTACTGACCGGGGTCAAGGATGCGTGTATACCGGGTATAAATGTCATTAGGAATTATAGATATTGACAGTAGATAAAGAAAGGTCAGAACAGCAGATGTAGGATTTCTACGATGGAGGATAGCTGTCACACACAACGTTTATCTTCGAAAGCTGACCGCGTTTAAATAGTTCACATATCATCACTCTCTGTTTTGAGTTTAAGCAAACCAATGGCGATCTTAAAAAAAAAAAAAAAACATTACCAGGTATCGAGCAAATGAGGATTTCCGCAATTTAGCATGAAGTTAACAAAATCAAAGGATTCAAATCAATAATAATTAAATGTTAAATTTGGGTGCAATTAAGCACATATTTCATAAAACAGTTTTCAAAGTAATGTTATATGTTTACTTCGGTGTTGACAATATGATTATGTAAATACATGTAATATATAAGCTATAGTTATAATCATGATAACTGAGCTGAATAGATTGATATAAGTATCTCTCTACATTGTCCCGGACAGCTATGATACATGACAATCGTTTAAATGATTTATTTATTGTAATAAAAAATTAAGCAAATAAGATATCATGAAATATAACAACGCAATATACAAGAAAAATGTATTTGCTTGATAACGTGTACATTAAACGTTTTTGTAAACATAAAACAACTGAGATAATAACGACATTTCAACAAAATTTCACACTTGATTAAACTAGAGTACATATGAGAAAAAGATTACGCAGAAACGAATACTCCTGACAAATTAAACAAATTAGATGTAAATGGTTAGACAGTACTATAAAACTATTGATAGAATTGACGATCGAAGTTAAAATATTGCTATTACACTATCTTTAGTACTGATGATCGATGTATAATTTACACTATTATAAGACCTGTACTACTGATGATCGATGTTTAGTTAACACTATTATACGACCTGTAGTACTGATGATCAATGTTTAGTTAACACTATTATACTGTCTGTAGTACTGATGATCGATGTTTAGTTAACACTATTATACTGCCTGTAGTACTGATGATCGATGTTTAGTTAACACTATTATACTGCCTGTAGTACTGATGATCGATGTTTAGTTAACACTATTATACTGCCTGTAGTACTGATGATCGATGTTTAGTTAACACTATTATATGACATGTAGTACTTATGATCGATGTTTAGTTAACACTATTATACTGCCTGTAGTACTGATGATCGATGTTTAGTTAACACTATTATACTGCCTGTAGTACTGATGATCGATGTTTAGATAACACTATTATACTGTCTGTAGTACTGATGATCGATGTTTAGTTAACACTATTATACTGCTTGTAGTACTGATGATCGATGTTTAGTTAACACTATTATACTGTCTGTAGTACTGATGATCGATGTTTAGTTAACACTATACTACTGCCTGTAGTACTGATGATCGATGTTTAGTTAACACTATTATACTGCCTGTAGTACTGATGATCGATGTTTAGTTAACACTATTATATGACATGTAGTACTGATGATCGATGTTTAGTTAACACTATTATACTGCCTGTAGTACTGATGATCGATGTTTAGTTAACACTATTATACTGCCTGTAGTACTGATGATCGATGTTTAGTTAACACTATTATACTGCCTGTAGTACTGATGATCGATGTTTAGTTAACACTATTATATGACATGTAGTATTGATGATCGATGTTTAGTTAACACTATTATATGACATGTAGTACTGATGATCGATGTTTAGTTAACACTATTATACTGCCTGTAGTACTGATGATCGATGTTTAGTTAACACTATTATACTGCCTGTAGTACTGATGATCGATGTTTAGTTAACACTATTATACTGTCTGTAGTACTGATGATCGATGTTTAGTTAACACTATTATACTGACTGTAGTACAGATGATCGATGTTTAGTTAACACTATTATACTTCCTGTAGTACTGATGATCGATGTTTAGTTAACACTATTATACTTCCTGTAGTACTGATGATCGATGTTTAGTTAACACTATTATACTGCCTGTAGTACTGATGATCGATGTTTAGTTAACACTATTATACTGCCTGTAGTACTGATGATCGATGTTTAGTTAACACTATTATACTGTCTGTAGTACTGATGATCGATGTTTAGTTAACACTATTATACTGTCTGTAGTACTGATGATCGATGTTTAGTTAACACTATTATACTGCCTGTAGTACTGATGATCGATGTTTAGTTAACACTATTATATCGATGTTTAGTTAACACTATTATATGACATGTAGTACTGATGATCGATGTTTAGTTAACACTATTATACTGCCTGTAGTACTGATGATCGATGTTTAGTTAACACTATTATACTATCTGTAGTACTGATGATCGATGTTTAGTTAACACTATTATACTGTCTGTAGTATTGATGATCGATGTTTAGTTAACACTATTATACTTCCTGTAGTATTGATGATCGATGTTTAGTTAACACTATTATACTGCCTGTAGTACTGATGATCGATGTTTAGTTAACACTATTATACTGCCTGTAGTACTGATGATCGATGTTTAGTTAACACTATTATACTGCCTGTAGTACTGATGATCGATGTTTAGTTAACACTATTATACTGTCTGTAGTACTGATGATCGATGTTAACACTGTTATACTACCATGAGGTACTGTTAAATATGTATAACAACTTTTGATAATATTGATGTTTCCTCTGTGAAAGTGTGCTGCCTCTATGTATTAATGAACTCTTATTGACGTAAGATTTCCTCCATATATATGAACCATTGTCAATTGACCTCGTGTGTTGAAACTGTGGTTTTCTCCATATATGAACCCTGACTAATATCCCCCTTTCACCCCGAGATGAACGTATAGTTGACTCGATATCAAATCTGACCAATGTTTCACCTGTGTTGAAAGTTTGATTACCTCCTTATACAACTCTTGACCTGTGTCCCTTATAATAAAGCTATGGTTCCCGTGAACTCTATCCCACGTCATCCCTGTGATTGATCTGCTTATTTTCTTGATAGGAGCCTTGATCAATATTTCCCTAGTGTCATAGGGAATGGTTGTGCTGGTTATGAAATTTAATTAATGCTTGTTGGACAATATTTGTTGAAACAGATATTGTTGTCTGAAATTGAATATTTTGACATAGTAATAGAGATGTGGTTGTCTGAATGAGAAATCTGGTGAAGGATAACTCTTCTTAGTGTTGTTTTTGGAGAAATTATTCCAATCCAGGTTTCGTGTAGCAGTATAGTTTTAATATGTGAATACAGCTTTCTTTCAAACTATAATTGAGTAAAACGGAAAGACCATATTAGATATGATGGAACAGATAAGCTTTAGATAAGTGACACAATGTACTGGTACATAGATGTGTATTTCTACACTAATTACATATAAATCATATGACTTTACTTATGCTGACCTGTTCACTAGTAATTAATTAAGTAAATAAAAGTAACATTAGCCGTAGATCAGCAAAAACTGTTGACCATGTGTAAGTTAATATCTGATCACTGAACTTATCAAAGTGTAGAAAAAGTATGCATGTATATTTCAAATTACATGTTACATTAATTTATAAAAAAAAATACTTTACCGAATAACATGTAGTGGTTTACTGGTAAACTTTGCCTCTATGTTGAAGGTATGGATATGAGTTAGACCAATGTAAAGCACTCTAATACCTACGATATCCTTTGTTGTCATGGATGAGAACAAAAGTTTCAAGTAATTTGCAAAAGGAAACAATGTATGAGGAGCACCTGTGAAAGCCACTCTCACTTTTGCAGTTTTTACTCAAACGCTAAACGCTATATGTAAGAAATTACACTTAAATATAACATAGAGTATATAGTTAAAATTTCGCTAAATGTCAATATTGTGGACACTACCAAAGAGAATAATATTGTGGACACAACCATAGAGAATAATATTGTGGACACTACCAAAGAGAATAATATTGTGGACACTACCAAAGAGAATAATATTGTGGACACTACCAAAGAGAATACTATTGTGGACACTACCAAAGGGAATAATATTGAACAGTGAAATCTATGGTTGATTTCTTTATACTGTTTTCAAATAAAATTGACTTCTGTGCTTATCGGTTAATGCTGACTGATTAAAAAAATGTACTTGATATTCACTGCCAGGCTAATTCTTCACATGTAGGTCAAGGTAGGCGAAAACATGTAGCATGTGGCGCAAGGTTAAAGAAATTATTATTTTCCCCCATATTACGGTTATCTCGATGATAGTACAGTACGGTAACAAATGCTGTTATTAGGATTTCAATCGGTGATATACATAAAAAAAAACAGAAAAAAGGGGAAAAACAACATATTTCCACTTTTCAATAAGATGTTTTTTGTTCCCCTTTTATCTTTTGTATTTTATGATCTCCAAACAATTTTTAGACGTCGAGGAGAAAATCTGACGAGAATATCAGGCTTCTGTTTGTATCATTTTTGAAGAAAAACATACATTTTGACACACATTTTGCTTGTAGTAGGAATGACGCACCTTTGTCGTCTTTGAAAAGTATCGCTTTTTTGTCATTTAGGGTGAAGATTAAACATCAGGTCATACCTTATGTCATTTATTGTGAGTATTAAACATCTAAAATTGAAGTTAATTCTCACAAGAGGTTTGTCACACTAATCTCAAGATTTAAGACATTGATCAGATTTAAAGAAAATGACAAATACAACGAGGAATGTGATTATACCATAACTTTCGACTGTCAAAGTATATTTGCAGATAGAATTTGAAGAAATGCTAGAATACTCAGATTTTATTATCATGTCTAAAGGTCACAGAAAAGGTAAACAACGCAGATCAAAAGTGATAGATATGAACTCATCTTCTATAGTTATAGGTTGTTTATGCCACAACACAAAAGTGAAATGGGAAGGTATCGAATGCTTGATTTGAGAACTGTTAAATTTGCTACAAATAAATAAACGTGAGTGAGTGGGTCTGTTGTTTTGATTATGGATAGAGCGAGAAAACCTGATAACCCTGGCATCTTACATACATTCGTCTCTATGTTAGATTCCTATAACCTCAGAACACCTGTGCATATTGACCTCAATGACACGGCTCTGATGGTATAATAAGTTATGTTAACACTCCGCACGCATGCACTCTTTAACGGACATCATACATGGCGGCCGTGGCAGCAAGGACACAACGAGAACACATTCCATTATCACTGACCATTAACTGTACACATCAACAAAGCATTGTCAGATTGAATAATTATTGATATATCTGCACAAAACTAAACATGCATACCATTTAGATATCAGTGATGAGCATTTACTTGTTCCATCCTGTCTAGTTTGGAGTTCACTCAGAAATGACGTTCTACACAAGTCACATAGACGTGTTGATATATTAGATATTGCTTGCTGCTCACACAACTTTTTAAAACATAATGTTAATAACAAGAACTCAAGATAGTTAGATTGTTCATAAAGCTTGGTATTGAGAGTAAATCTCTCACTTGTCATCAGCACCGCTTTGGAGAAGGTCCTATACGTAAGTATACACGGATTTAACACTAAACCAAAAAATACCTTCTTATAAAAGTTGTATTAATATTTTATGCTTTTATTTTATTCCATGTAACTACATATTACTCTTAATGTTGTAGATGGATTCAAAATCTTATATCAAATCATGATACAGAGATTTATCTGTAGGCAATATTGAGCCATGATATCACAAGAACCATATCTTAGAATAGACTATTAGAAACATTTAATTTATCATATTGTTTGAAGTCATACAACAATAACTACATAATATGAACAGCCAAGTTAAGTTTTGATTTAAACCATTAAATTCACGATTTTCTACCTGTGTTTTATTTGACGAAAACATCACAAACGTACTGTCTCACTGAAATATTGTCGGGTATATGGATATCTATTGAACTTTCTGAGCCAATAACGATTACACCTGTGAGAGTTTTTGGCGTATTTGGGCAAGTTTTTTGTTTAAATAGATGGTCTATCAACACCAGACTTTCCGGTATGCTATTATAGATTAACATTTGGTGTTTATTTTTAACCTCATGATGTCACAAGCATTGCACGTTGCAAACAAATTAAGATTTATTAATTAAATATATATTTATCATAATTATCATGTCATTGATTTTTTTTTAGTTTTCAGATTGACTGATTATCGATCACTGTACCATGTTAATTGATATTAAAGGATTAGTTTAATTCCTTTATACAGTTTGAATATTTGTAAAAATGATTCTCTTTAACCACACATTTAAAGTACGGACAGACCTTACAATGCAATGTTCACCATTTAGTACAGTATATATCTTACGACGGAGGATAAGTATTTCTAAAACTTATCCTGGTCACGCTTTCACGTATATATTTCCTTTTCAATATGTTAGCATGTTTGTAGTTCAAAGTTGTTTAATCTTAAGTGCATTTTGTCGTGTGTAATTAAATGTATCTGCTGTATCGTATTCCATGTTCAGCTTGCACTCTACCAAACAATGAAACCACCCTACAATTTTTGCCTGTAAGTAAAATATGTATTCCTGAATAAGAATGATAATAAATCCCCCCCACCTTCCTTACCATCTGGACATCAAATGCTTTATTCGACTATATTTGATACATGTTGTTTTGATTTGATTATATTTTACTCTAAAAAACACACATATATACAAAGGAGGAAACAGAAAGTAAAGAACGTATCTATTCTGCATCGTTGTTAGAATAAAATCAGTGGTGGCTTGCAGGTTACGACTTATTTAATCATAGAAATAATTAGTCTTTCATTCAAAATGATATTGCTAAGTGTATTAAAAGATTTAACAATGGCGGTATACCCATAACATTTTGGATTTGAGGGTGAAGCCATACCTTCATAAATGGGCACAACAAAGCTTCCGGCGGGGACATTCCTGGTATTAAACGAAATTAAACTACATAAATATCAATAATTTGTGATCATTTGTGATGTGATCATCAGTGTAAACATTCTTGCATATTTTCAGTACACCAATACCATGTTCAATGAAATAAGATGTATTTCTTAGAACTTGTGATACTTTTTAATCTAGTGGTAAAGCATTGTTTTCATAACCCACGAGCTCATTAGGTGTTTTTATCTATGTCAATTACAAAATGTACTTAAGATTAATTCAAATATCACCATAATATCTCTATTTCAGAAAATCGGAATTTCATTCTTTACTTATCTTGTAGTAATCTATCATCAAATATAAGAATTTATCTATTTTTATATGTACGTCTTCAGGTACAACCCAGGTTAAACATACACCCTTAATAATTGACTTGTCATTATTTCCTTAACCAACACTTTCCTATTGTCTAAAAACTATTAGCGTTCAGAGAACACCCCAAATCTACATATAAAAATGTTATCACAACCCGCTGTTACCACAGGATATTATCATTAAAATATGTTATTTTATTATTATGAAATGGTTAGTTTTCTTTGAGCTTGAAGGTGTACGTTATGGAAGGGAAGCACATGGCTCGTGCATTATTATAAATGTAATAGTAAGCATAATACATCAAATGTACAATATTCATTTTACTTTGTTGGTTATACGACTTACAGTATTGGATTATTGTCAAATGTCATGTTTTATACTTACACCATAAAACAGGTATTTAGGTACAATGGGTATTAACTACATTATTGTGGGTCTGGTGCTGTTGGCCGGTCACGTGTGCGATGGGGAATATCTAGGGGGATCCATGAGATACGTCTTGTCTGAGACTAACAATTCATTGGTGAGTAAACTATGAGTCCTCGACTTATTTTCTTTAAGAATATATTGAGCACTTGGCAATGTACTCAAAGCCGCATTTACATACGATTCGGGTAAGGTTATGCTGTCATTGATATTCAACTTTATATCTTGTTAGAAACATCGATCAAGTCGTTTACCACAACGTTGTCAAATAATTTATCCTTATACTCATTTATCAAAAGATCACTGAAACGTTTGTTATGTATGAGAAAACATTAGGGAATGTGCTTTGACATTCGCCATATAATCGTAATGTTTACAATATCGAAATCGTATTTCAAAACCCATGAACTATCTAAATGAGTGTACGCTCATCAATGTACTACAATAAAAAACTTCATTGGTAACAAATGGCCCAAAAGACAGTTTATGTAATATGATTATTTTGAGATGGCGCACGTTACAATATTGACCGGTTGGAGGCTTGGTACTGGGCCGTGTGGACACCAGTGTAGTATTGGTCAAACCACCAGCTCCCAGGAACACCAGATTACTGCAAGTCTCGGCCAGGACCATTTCGGTAGGTGGATTACAGAGGAGAAAGGACCATACTTGTCACGTCAAATGGATATCACTGAATTTGTCAATAACAACATACAACAACGTGTTATGGACATCAATAGAATGGACAACTGGGAAATTGAATTAGGAACCTTCTCCATTCCAGTGTGGGAACATTCAACAGAAATTGTGTAAGAATGCTTTATAAAATTGTTTTGGTACCACTACTATAGAGAAGTCAATCAATCAATCAATCAATCAATCAATCAATCAATCAATCAATCAATCAACTTCCCAATGTTTAAGATGTAAACACTTGATCGATAGCAAAATTGATAAAGCAAAACATATCTAAACTTGAAATTTAAGAAACATATATCAATATGTTGTATACAATCTATGCATTCTGCAAGTCTGCCTTCCACATTTCAGATGACTTTTTAATAAATAGGTCCATGTCTCGCAAAAAGTTGGGGATATTAGAAGATAATATAGTTATAAGATTGTCGGTTATTTTGTCCATATCATGAAATTACAATCGATTTCTGACTGCTGAAGCCAATACAAAACACGCCTGGGTAATTACACTAGTAACCTATATGCAGAAAATATTATCTGGACAAATTCACAGGTAAACATTTGAATTAAATGTTGATAACAAATGTGTGCTATTTATTTTATGAACACGATATCATATTCCATTTCAATTGATTATATTAAAATTAAAGGTGTGACGATGTTTCATTTCCGGCTTTGTCAGCGGTACACGGGATGCTGAAATAATAAAATGAATGAATTGTTTTGATTACTTATGAGTTAAATAAAGGATGATAAATGAATTTAAAGCGATCACGCATTAACGTCGGACGAGACACTTACAGATCTAACAGGGGTATGACAGGACCACCAAACAACATTCAGATATCATATACACGGTAATTTCAGTGTTCATAGACAGACTTAGATATTGCAAGCAATAATCGTCACCACCGTTTTCCCCGGAAAAATAAAATCAACATGGGAACGTACGATTTCGTTTCCATCAACTTCGACAACAGTCGCCAATATGTTAAACACCATATCAACCATACAAGACCGTTAATATATTGATATTCGTTAAATCCTTTGACGGCTTCATTTGTAACTGATGCAAAAGCAAAGTCCTAATCATTTTTATTACTAAATGACATATGACTTTAAGTATATCTCGTGTACCGGCTGTTGCCATTGCCTATTGAAATTGCAATGGACGGTTATGAGCAATAGTAAATGATAATGTGTGTTGTTGTGCGTGCCATGACAATTCACGGTTGTTAGTCCTGTGACAGCAGCACATGTGTTTCCAATAACTGTTTGTGAAATTTTAGACCCTACCGTCTGTATACAGTGTTGAAATATTTAACTGTTAAATTTTTACGGCAGATATTTCCAAAACAACATGACTAAGCTAACCGTCCAAACAGCAATCACTCGCTCATACATGGAAATGAAGATCAACCTGCCAGGAAATCGATCAGATACTGGAATGCCAAACAGAAGTCCGATTACGGACAGCCGTCCATTTATGAGGTACTGGATAGCCATCTCTACTGACCACCACTGAATTCAGTAATGCTGCACATGATTTCACATAGGTTTATCGTAGAAAGAAGAAACCTAATCGTTTCAAACTGCTTTCATATTGATGGCAAAAGTCCCATATTAGGTGCTGTTCACTTTGTGTCTTTTGTGCAATTTTGGAGATTAGACGTGATATACATTCATGGTGAACTCTTGCACACACCCTTTTAATTCATGAGAACACTGCCATCACGTATATGAATACATTTGAAAGCATTTAAAATAATGAAAGTAAAATATTGAAAATTATGATTTTTTTTATAGTGCACCAATACCCCATTCCCGATCTCCATCAATGGCTTTAATTTCAATGAACAAAGAAATATTATGTTAACTACTTTCCCTTGTAGATTAGCTCTGGGTCGCAAATACCACCTGCGTGTACCCACAGTGGATCCAGACCAGGACTTCGTGTCCTGTAGGCCACCCCGCTATGTAGAGTTTCTGGAGCTCTTCGAATCACCGGCTCCCAATGTTACCATAAACAAGGTATTATAAGTATTGTGTGATGTATAGAAGAGTAACAAATACGCTTTTTATTTTGAATTAATGTCACTGTTTATTACAATATAGACATAGTATTAAGGGTTACGGCACACCTCGGAAGCTCATGTCTGTCTGTAGAGCTTATCTTCTAGACAGAGCTTAGGAATAAACAGAATCAATCAATAAGTAAATACAATGAATGAGGAATTCATTGATCTCAATTAATTATGTTACAATAATGTAGCTCTACATTTAAAAAAAACATTTATCTATTAGATAGATGTAACAATATAAACCCTACATCATCAGATGCGATGGCTTGTTGTTTCAGGACTGTACAATTGATGTTTACGCTGATCCATCACACTATAAGATTGGAGACACGGCACTTGTCGGCATAGTGGTGGAAGATTTCCCCAGAAAACAAGTACATATCGGTCATGATTTCATCTACGTAGACGGATATTCACTGAGCCTGAGTCAGACACCTGTTCAGGTAGGGCTGTTCAGTGTATGAATTACAATTAGGTTCTTATTGAAAAAAACATATTGTTGTCAAAGTATGCCATGAAAAAATACGTGCTTTCAAATGTCCCATATTTCCAAATATTCATATGCTCTCTATGTTATATATGTTTTTTTAAATGTGTACCTCCTGTCATCTTCGATTGGATGAAGTTTTCTCTAGTTACATAATAGTTATGATGATAATCATTTTATATTCCCATTTAATTGTCAAAACATTCCAGATGTAGGTTGAAATATTTGGAAATACTCCCTTTATTAACTTTAAGGTGTTGTAAATCATTGGATTGCGGCCAACATTTCCATAATTGGTATCGTTCTAATGAATTATCTTGTCATTATATACTTGACCTATACCTTGTTGTCTCTAGTTTTACTTTGAAGTCACCGGTAGTGACGATAGTCCAGTGATTCTGCCACCCACACCTCCAAACGGTCAGTTGTTTACCGTATACCAAGGTACCAAACTTACCATAGAAGTGTTCGCCAAACCCAGTGTCAATAACAGGTATGTTTTTCACTGTCGATTTTGATGGTTAATTTAAAACCCGCATTCTCAGATTATGTTGAAAAAACATATTGTGTAAGCCTATATAATGAAGAGACAGAAAATTTTGTTTTAAAATGACAAGTGTCCTACACGACGATATTTACATTTCACATGAAAAAAAAATTATAACGAAATCAAATTTCTCAAATCATACTCCGTCAGCGTCACAAAGGTGCACCTCTGACATCCCGTGTTATTAGTTAACTGAAGTGATGTTAATGACACTAAAGCGGTAAAGCCTCGAAAAATGTACAAGTTATGACTGCAGATACCGTAGATTAGGAAAGTAGGGATGCTACTGTAGGGGAATGGAATATTTTAAACAGGAGCGATTTTTATAGCAAAAGCTTACAAGGAACGAAATCGAAGGTCTGTAAAAACAATTGATAAAAAAGTCTCACCACAATATATATCTATGTAATATATACAACGTAGACTTTAAAATTTACAGAATAATATCAAACTTTCGCTACGTGAGTAACGGCATAGCTAGACACTTAACATGGTCACATATACAAGATCGTCCAGACATCGGAGCGTTGGTGAAGAGTCAACAGATCGTGTGGATACCTAGCGCTGACATGATCGGTTCCCACAGCCTTTGTGTAATAGCCCAGGACAGTGATGAGTATGTTACATCCAGGCTGTCTCTGGTTCACAAATCTTTGTTTACTGTAAATATTTATCACGTCACACTGTAATTGAACTCTGGGAAAATGTTCACCTTTGATGCGTCGTTGTTTAAATTAAGTGAAAACGGATATATATTTAGTAGTAAGGCAAGTAGATTTAGATGTTTTCTATATGCAATAAAATATTAAAACTGGACTTAAATAAACTAAAATGACTTTTATCAAGCGTTTGATTACTTTGCAGGGTGGATTCTGTTTCCAACTATTGCTTTGCTGTGGAAGTGAAGGGTACGTATTTGAGGTGTATGTCAAGTTTATGATAATTTACTTGTAGGAAACATATATCCACTTGTCATCAACATTACACTCCAACATAGGTTACAACCGGAACTACGTTACACAAGTCACCGCCGGTATATAGCTTATCATACAGCCTGTTAGAAAGCTGTCCATGTTGGCTTCGTTGTAGGAAACAATCATACTTCGTTTTCGAATCTGTCTCATTTATAACTATTCATTCGTACCTTCAAATGAAATGGAGACTTGATAACCTATTGTTAAAAAGTTGTGGTTTATTTACATGCAAGATAAGTTTGAAAATTTAAGGTTGCTAATTTTATAGTTTTAAATTAGATTCAATACATGTATACAGGTACCTGAATATTGTTGTCCATTTCTTACTTATTCCGTTATTGGTAAGCACACCGACAACAGGTAAATAAATTTGATACAATTTTATGATAGTTTGTTATCACTGAAAGCTTCTGTTTTGCACTCACCTATGTTTTGATCTTTTATTTTGTTTCTAGGATATCCTACTTCAAAAGAAGAATTAACGCCTCGACCGGTAACTAGGAAATTAATTCATTGTTTTCCTGTATTTACTGGTTGTGGACCCGTCATTGAGATGTACATTACAATGTGTTAAATATAGATTATGGTACAAGTAATCTTTAGCCAGAAACATTCCTGAAAACAGCATGTTAACATGTTATCAGAACCCTACCCATTGCAGTGTTGTTTTATATTTTTCCGTTTTCCCAAAAATATTAAAACGGGTTCAATTATATTCTCCAATGAATCGGTTACAAATGCAAATGAGAAAATTTCCATGTTTAGAGTGAAGTATTTTCATGTTGGTATTTCATTTTTCCCCACTCAATTACGTATTAGGCAGTGCACGACCACGTTCCGAGACAAAAAGTCTGCTACTGAAGGTCTTGATAAAGATACAATATCACAGATGCTACGCATCACACATTTAACGCTTTTGATATATTATTTCAGATAAAAGTAAAAATTATTTTATGCAATATTATCATAGAAGTTTATGAAGATTATTTTACATTTTGATAACTCTCGTCTGTAAAAGCCATGACAACGACTACCGTGATGTTTTGTGTGTGTGCTCAACACTGAAAAACATTTTCTGTAAGTTTAGTAAATAACTGTGATGACTCGAAGACAAAGAAAGGCGAATTAGGGTGCTGTATGTAACTCCCAATTAATGACCCCATTAATGAAACCAATTTTGATAGACAATAAACACAATGATATGTTCCCGAAAAGTATCAGTAATTACACATTAATTTAAATCATTACTTTCACAAATCTCACGAAATCCTATAAATTGATATTATGAATGTTAAGTTTACTTAAACATAGCCTGAAGAGTTCACTGTAATAATGTGCTGTCCCCCTTTTTTGTAGGGAGTCCCGTATTTTGTCAATTTTCCACAGCCTGGGCAACTTGATTTCCCAGTATACTCTCAAGGCTTCTTCCCTATTTATGCTGCTTCAGCAGCCAGTGGGTAAGTACAAGTCTACCTATTTTTAAATTGAATTGACAAGCTATTGTCATAGACCCTTTAAGGTTGCCAGTTTCAATAGCTAGAAAGAAATTGTGATATTAACATGATCATATGGTTGAAATTTATCTTCATTACCCTTGCAGGTCTTTGAATTCACGAAATATTCAGAAACTTGTAAATATCATCTTCATTTATCTTCACATTGATTTTCGTTCCAGATTTATTCTTTTCGTTTTCTTTATTTTCTTTTCGTTTTCTTTATTTTCTTTTGATTTTTGTTCTGTTTTTTTTTTAATTTCCAAAATGCACCACAAAAGAGATGGATTAAGTAAGGACGATTTTCAATTGGAAAGTGTTTGCAATGGATTGTTAAAGCGTGTGAGATATCCCAAAACTAATGAAGCAAATCGCTCTTTGATGGATAGTGAATATAATATGAGCACATTTATACTATATGGTGAATTCTGGTTTTAACTGCTAAATAGGTAAAACAGCAGAAAACGATCGTTATGTAGTTTTAACTGAAAGCGAAACAGATGAACTAGTTTCAAAATTGTTTCAAGATTTTGGTAGACTCTTTTTAGCATGATGCCATGATGGTTTCGTCGATGAAACAGAATGCTAAGCCTTCCGAAACAAATTATATTATTTTGTCTTTCCATTTCCAAGGATCTCTCTAAAGATAACGTCGAGTGTGAGTTTAATGATAATTCTTATCTTTTAAGTAGTGTCTGAATTATTGTAATGTTTTTATTTCAACACAATTGGATACTTCTTGACAAAAATTAAAATGTTTCTTAATTTCAAATCCTAATTCATCATCATCACATGACTGAAACGTGTTTAATTAGCGAGATTTCCCATCAATGAAAACAAGTTTTAGTTCAATTTTTTATTCATATTAAGAGAAAAAAGGTAGACAAAACAAGACACAATAAGTAAAGCTATAAACAAGACATACGACGAAGTAAAAATATAGCAAACCACTCCTTTGAATTATGATTCTGGACTTATAAGTTGTGTCGCTTAACGAATACAATTCACACGTATTATAACAGTACACAGTAAAAATAAATGTCTGTGTGAGTAAGAAATATTCTTTGTTTTGTATTTGAAAAAAATACACATTGTATATCAGTAACTAAATCTAAATTTGAAGACATTATACCTTTATCACAGTGAATTAACAAAACAGCATGTGATTACAAGAATCGGATACGTCATATGAGACTTGTAGTATAGATGACCAGTATGCTTCTGATAACAGGATTGTAATGTACTTTAAAATGTCGGTTATTTGTATTACGAAATGCACATGGATATGTTTGTCGAGATCTGAAAATCACCTTTTGTGTACAAGAAATAGTCTGACATAAGAAACATGTACAAAGATCACTTAAAATGATAACTAATCCCTTGCGCTAATTCAACCAGAAGGCGTTGTGGATCCCTTTCAGCCATGTCCCAAAGCCGTCATACACAAGATATATTATCGAAGACATGAAAAGCATAGATGTGTTTTTGTCAAGATGACCATTAAATAATCCAAACATACAAAAATATATATTTTTCGTTCCAGGAGCAGGTTACACATCAAGCTGACGAATACCAGTTCCAACAGTATGATGATTACCTCCATTGACAACGGTTCAAACATGTCCATAGTAACAGTACTGACGTATAGTGCTAAGAGCGGTAATCAAGATGTGTGTTTCCAAATTGAGGATGTGTAGGTTTATGTTTGTAACTCACCATTGATTGTTTTTATCATATAGATTCTGTCCTGCTTGCTAGATAGCATGTTTTTTGTGCATTTGGGCCTGGGAAACATAAGAATGTATCAGTTTGATAAAAGCTGTAGTGATGATATACGATCTAGTCATTTGTGATTTGCAATTATCGGTCATAAATTAGCAAAGGAAAAGAAAATGAAATAAGCTGGTTTTCAATTTTTGCTGTGTATTTTTCGGGTTTCCTCTAACATTGTAACAAAAACAGTTTTAATGCTAATCGTACAAGGAAGCAACATTAAATGGTAGAATACCACGTAAATTTACAAATTCTTAACGTTGTCTTGTTTTCAAGCTTACAGTATTAGTGGTGTGGTTATGTTGCAGGTCATCACCTTTGGAGCGCTGCACCAACGTCCATTTCATTACAGCTGGTAATTCATGTTTCACAAACTTATAAGAATTTCATAAAAATGTGTTTTTTTTCACGATAAGATATCGATTTTTTTTAAGTTGGCGTTTGCATATATAGTTCATACTCAAAGAACTGTTTTGATACAAACAAAGGAAAAACATGATTTGGTTGCAATAATTTTCAAACTTTAGAACATGATATAAAGCGTAGCGTTCTCCTTAATATTTATATACATAATTGATGCTTTATCGGATAGATTTGACGTGCTATACATACCAACAGTTCTCATTTATGTTCATATACATAGGTGATGCTTTATCGGCTAGATTTGACGTTATAGATATAACAACAGTTCTCCTTAATTTTATATACATAAGTGATATTTTATCGGATAGATTTGACGTTATATACATACCAACATGTCTTCTGTGGTGTTATGTATTCATTATCTTTGCAGATCCTTGTGAACGAATTCCATGTAAAAATAGTGGAATATGTGTCCGCAGGAACACAGAGGACAAATTCACCTGTCACTGTGAAAGAGGGTACACGGGTGCTACATGTGAAATAGGTATCATTTTAAATTTATAATGGGTATGACGTGTAGTGTGAATGGGAGGGTATACGGGTGTGGCGTGTGAGATAGGTATCATTTTTAATTTTTAATGGGTATGACGTGTAGTGTGAATGAGAGAGTATACGGGTGTGGCGTGTGAGATAGGTATCATTTTTTTATTTGTAATGAGTATGACGTGTAGTGTGAATGGGAGGGTACATGGTTACGTCATATAACGTTTAATTAATATGACATTGTAATAATCTCAACGATTATTTGACCTGATAAAACAAAGCAGAGACAGACAAATAGTTACCATCAGATAATATTCAACTATCTACTGTATAACTTTCCATTTACATTATTCTATATATAAATAATTATCAAAGTTACTGTTTCAATATTGCATGTGTGCCATAGGTAAAGATTAGTCGACATTACGTTTTATTATTATTATTATTAGGTCCCGATCCGTGTGCATCACAACCATGTAAAAATGGAGGGACATGTCTCCTACCTTTTCGGTCATATTACAAATGCATTTGTCCATTAGGGAAAACGGGATATCATTGTGATAATGGTAAGTAATATATTTTTTTATTGTTTTGGAGATATTAAGCATCGCCTGATTTCTCAATACATTGAACAAATAAAAAAGAAAGTAGATGAGCTATTGAACTTTTAAATACAATGAACCAATTATCATTCGGTATGATGTTGTACGGTAACGTAGATATGTATGGATGGGAATGGAATAAACGGCAAATTTCTTTGATTATTTTAGAAATCATCAACTGCCGGAGAGAATCCTGTAAGTACGGTGTTTGTGAAGACAACCTGGGAAGCGGTACATGTCATTGTGCCAAAGGATTCACGGGAACGCAGTGTACTGGTATATATGTCATCGTAGTAGTCTAAATACTTAAACGGTTTTGATAAAAATATTTTTCTAGTCGCGTTAAAAAATGCATTCCTATGTTTTATAGGAAATAAATAATTCTTACTCAAATACAACTTGAATTTTAATTTCTCTAAAAATTTCTATATCAACACTGCCAGAATAGGCATAAAGAGTATGGAGAAGTGTACAAAACATTCAGTTAATGATTAATTTCAATACAAATTTAGAGTTAGAATCACACAGCTGTTTCGTCTCTCTAGAATTCGCTAGCTATAATCTGGGCCTGAATTGTTGAAATCTAGAAGGCGACACAGAAATAAAGTCAAAACGCAGGAGAGGAGGTGCCTTCTATAATGTAACCAATAATTTCAATATTTAATAAATTCAAAAACATGCGCATACTCTGAACCGTGCCACTTCTTAAATTCGAGATTTACTTATATTGTTCAAAATTTACATAACGGATATCGTCGATAAAACAGAAAATGTTTTCTATTCCGGAACAGTGGTTTTTCTATATGGCTTTCTTTGGTTGTTAATATATTGCCGTAATGTCATCAAATTTGAATGAAGATTCTGTTGTCATGTTGGTATTTTTGTTGTTGTTTACGTACGGTGTTATATGAGCATACTTTCGGTCTTCTTTAGCGGATTTCGATAGCAAACCATACGAAAGCAGATCGTACATTATCGTTTAATAAAGATTCTTGCAATGTGTCATGTAATTTGAATGCAAACAAAATAAACTTTGATTTCAAAATTTACCTAAAGAGACATTAACATTAAGTTTTTAAGGAGTAAGGAAAATAAAGTCATATGTTGAGAAGAGCTGCTGTTTCATGCTCTTGTTTTCTTTCGAAACCCTTTGTAGTTCGTCAACGAATCAAATGTGGCATGTTAACACTTATGTTGAGGAAATGTGATTGTTTTGTCTCCGTATTAAAGATTTACAATAATGACATTGAAATAACCACGTCAGTATAAATAGCACCTGGTTTAGCTTTATCTGTTGGTAACTATTAATATATCAACAAACGTCTTATTTTACATTGTACGTACACATGTGTTCGTGTCCTGCTGATGTTATGATCATAAATCACCGTTAATCTCTATCAATGATGTAAGTATTTCTGAAATATTCGCTTTATATTAGTATGTGCATAGAACACAAATTTTATCATATAGACTTAAATTCCTCAGAACACGTTATATATTTTAGATTGTCAAAATCTTTGATGATTGTATTTGATTTTTTTGGTAGAACCTGACAGCTCCACTGCACTCTGTCCCGGCTTACAACAAAACGCAACAGGTAACATCAGCGATTCCTAGTTAAAAAGTTCGGATTTGATGTTATTAATTGTTAGATAAAAAATGTTTAAAAAATGAAATTCAGAATAGAAATGGTTACGGTAGATAAGTAATCAAGGAATATGTATTTACAGATTGTATTAAACAATGTAACTGGTGTTACGAACCTCATGGAATCTGTAGACCCAGTAGAGTAGCCGACCAATACGACGAGTGCACGTGTTCACTTGGATATGAAAAGCCTGGGACACACTGCTTTCAAGGTAATAACATATTCGTTAAAACCTGGTTTCATGATGTCATCATCTACCCTATATATCTTTTTCTCCAGATTCAAAGCTTTCACTTATAAACGTTTTCTGTATAATTTTTTTTTGTTCCACAGTAAATGAAGATATCACCATCACTGGGGAGGATTGGGTAAGATTATTTGTGTGTTTAACATTGAATGAAGATATCACCACACGGGAGATAATTGGGAAAGATTACTTAAGTGGTAAACAGTTAATGAAGATATTACTACCATGGGAGAGATTGGGTAAGATTAGTCGTGTGTTAAACAATTAATTTACATATATCCATCAAATGGGGGAAAATTGGGTAAGATTATTTGAATGTTAAACAGTTCATTAACATATTACCATTACCGGAAAGAATTGGGTGAGATGATTTGGGTGTTAAATAGTTAATTAACATATAACCATCACGGAAGAGAATTAAATAAGACTATAATAATGTTAAACAGAATATTAACATACTACCATCACGACAGGATTAGTTCAGTTTTATGATAAAGCTATGGCTTATCGTTTTATTAAAACAACCTTGTACAATGACTTGTTATCAAGTATATTAAAATCCATTATATCTAAGCACTGAAGCATGTCAGTTTACCGCTTAAAATAGTTGATTTTATGTTTATTATGAGCGGATATATATATTTTGTTTTGAAACAGCCGAAGTTTGTTCCGCCCACCCCTGGACCGCTGAGTACCATCAGCTGTGAACTTGATCAGTATACACGAGAAAAATGTTCATTTCCTGTATATGCTGCAAGTTATAAAATAAGCAGGTACTGTCAACTCACCAACGTTTGTATTTGTATGTTAACTTAATAATAATACGAAATTGATATTTATTTAAAATCAATATGCTAATATGAAATTATCGAAAACATTGTCCATATTCTCAATGTTCATAATCTATTTTTAATGTAATCAACAAGTCACAAAATAAAATCGAAGTCACGTTGTAACTTCACCTTTAGTTTGCCGGTGCGATGAAGAAATTATCAGCAAGAGTGGTTTATGATGATCTGAAATAATTAAAGGAAAGAGACATGAAAAAAAATCTGTTATTAGATATAATATTTGACTTATTTATGTCATTGATCCATAGCTGAAAAAAACGGAGTGTACTCTTGGTATAAACCGCTTATTAAGAGAACACCTCTTTTTGTGTTACGACTCAATAACATAAATAATTAACGTCGTCATTGAATTGTTTTTGTTTTTATCTTTATCACACTTATATATATACTGTTAAGTGTTTACTCTTGGACTAAGTAATACGTTCTATTCAGTTTGAAGTGTACATAAATGTAGACACATGATTCATAACTTTGCTCATCATGTTTTCCAGTATTGTTCCTGCTGTTGAAAGTCTCTTCCCCATAAACGGACTGCAAGTAACAGCATCGTCCCCAATTGCCACTAGCATTCAAGACGTGTATATGTACAATATCACAGTACAGCAGTCTAAGGAAAACAACGGCAAGAGGAATAAATATGATCTTTGTCTCAAAGTAGCACCTTAGTAAGTGTTTGCGAATACATAGATGTGTCTAGATGCAATGATACAATTTGCATGTCTGTAGCATGTAGATATTCTCTGCTAGAAATAGGGTTAAAGGTAATGTCACTATAGTAATGCCACTGTAGAACCAGACTGTCAGCTTAGTAAAGTGTTGCTATACCAAGGTACATGTATAACATGGGTTTGAAATTAGGTCATAGTATTTATACCATGATAGAGCTAAGTGTAGGATATCTGTTTAATTAAATATGTATATATATATATATTGCTATACCTAATTTAATTAAATATATATATATTGCTATACCTAGGTCGGAGAAGTGATTAAAGTCAAGTAAGTATATATACAATGGTAAACTTAAGCTACAGAGTTGTAACCACATTAATAATACATCTAATGACAAAAAAAAATGTAATATGTTGAATATTACCCAAAAGACACAAGTGATTAGCGCATGAAATATTGTATGATAAAACGTATTCTTCTGTAAACTATGCCTTCTGTTACAGTGGCAATATAACGGCCAGGACATGTGTCAATGTCATTTTTACCAATAAAGGTGAGAATTCTGTCAGTAATAAGGAACACAAAGAAATATGTTATGATAGATATTTCTCTTTATTACTTAACGTTATTTTCATTAACCACTTAATCTTATAAAATATGGTTCAATTATGCAACAAATTGCTTTATGATACTATCAAAATATACTCAACAAAAAAAGAAAGGTTAACATGTTTCCTTGGCGAATACCTGTAAATGAGTGAAAACAAAATGGCGTTTGTGCAATATTAGAAAATGGTAATGTTTTACATTACAAAATCCAAGGGGGGTTACCAAAATCATTCAAGCGTGAACGTCTGTATTAGCGGAAGAGCTGCACGAGGTTTTCTGCGACTAACTTGTATCTTCGCTTGAATTTCATAAACATTCAAACGGACAACTGTTCCTTAGATCGTTAGGACTTAGAAATCACCGAATCTTGCTATCTATGAACTTTATCATTATGCCACGGCTGTCACAAGTACAGAGAGAAAAGGCTGAAGGCATGATCCAGGCTGGGGAGTCTCGCCGTCGAGTTGCACGGCATTTTTGGCGTTGACGCCATTTTTCAACATTTTAACGCACCAGCACACACCAGTCGCGTCAGCAGAACTTTCTTGCAGCAGAATAACGTACAGGTGTTAGATTGGCCATCTAAATCATGATTTGTCACCGATTGAGCATGTCTGGGACGTTCCTGGGCAACGCGTGAGAGAACGTCAAAATCAGCCGTCAAACTTGCAGGAGCTGGCCAAAGCCTTGATCGCTGAATGGAACAACATCTCTCCTCGAATTACCCGCCGGTTTACGAGTTCCATGCGACGACGATGCAATGCTGTTTACTTCGCAAACAGTGGCCATACTCGTTACTAATGGTGTTAATTTTGAAATTGACCCCAACGTCCTTTACAGTCGAATAACATCAACTGAACGCAACGTTTTATAATGTACCATGACTGCTGTTTTATCAGAATTGATCAATTACTTTATTCGTACATGATTGGTAAGGATTTATGAAGGGGTTAATTAATTAATCACAGAATAAAGTAGTGTTACCTTTCTTTTTTTGTTTAGTATATATACTAAGAAATGAGATAGCTGCTACGTAAAACAAACTGTATATTATTTTTTTTATAGATATGCCAGAAACCACTAACGGACACTATCGGATGGTGAGCATAAAAATATATTCTTTTCTTTTGTGAATGTAAAACAAACACTGGTAGATAAATATTGCAATATGCGATATAAGAAAGAACGAGGATATTAATTTTATTGAGTACACTACAAATAGCATTATTAATATCAATCTATTTCCCTTTGTCAGTTCGTGGAACCAACTTTGCCAAACGACTCAAACTTTACATGTACAGCTGGAAGGTCCTGTCACATGTTTCTGTACACAGAAACAAATTCTGACCAATGGTATGTTCTATGATACATTGCCATACAATGAGATTACACCCATTCAGAGATGTAGTTTACGTAGATGTAAATAAGATTGATATAATACATTCATTATTTACGTTTATTTTCAGTGAGAGAATCATTGTTGGAGCAGATGCTTCAGTAGAAATATTTTCACCAGAACTCCGAAACGGTGCTTGTGTAACAGATGTCGCAATAAAGCTATCTTCCGTCCCATACCAACGTCTGTGTCTACGAGCTGGGTAAGGCATATTTGCTATAACTTCAAAACATACTTTCTCTTTTTTCAGTTTTTGACATCACTTACGTAAAACTTAGAAGATGAACGTATAAAATTTTTGCCATGCATGTATAACTCGTTTCTTTTTACTATAACAATGTAGCACTTGTTAAAAGAACCACGTGATTTTATGATGTACTTCTAGTGAGGTACATTATTCTGCATGTTTTAATACCGCTCAAAAATATATATGCTTACGGTTTGACCTAATCTTACTTGAAAAGAATAAGATACACTATTGAAAAGTTTTTGTGTAAGGAAATATACAATACCGATCTATTATCTACGATCATGTAATGAATGATTTGGTATCGAAACGAAGTTTCCATTTGTATTCATAATTTAGGAACTGAATTAGATGTAATATTAATTCCTTTCAGACTCGGTGGAGAGTCGAGATGTTATGGAGTGATATTAGACTCTGGCAAAGGTATTCGTCTTAATGATAACTCTTTATAATTCATCAGACCATATAATCTCTATGAATATAAAGATCGTCAACTAGGCTGAACTCTTGTACAATATTATAGTTAATCGAATCATTGGTTGAGATAACTTCTCTATACATCCATCAAAATGAAGTAATATAATGTTAATGCTGTTCTAGTAACAAAGAAATTAGCACCGTAGCATTTGATAGATGAATCGATATGTGAATTATACCGCATAATCTGTCTAACGTCTTATTTCAATCAGAAAGATAAGTATCGAGGGACCGCGCATGAGATACTTTTTTTCTTTTGATTTTATAATGTGTTATTTTGATAACCTTTATGTTGGAACATTTTCTTAGGTTGGTAATGTCAATATAATAGAGGTTCTTATAATAATAATAATATATTCTTATTTTCTAATAGAAGATTTAAGTGTGACACACAGGTGAATTTGATGCTGTTGGTGGTGTTTAAGGCACTGATATGGCAGTCAGAAAGAACGTAGCAGAACCGTGTACAATGAGTTGTTAATATCTTTCTCTGTACTTTTTACCATCCCCTCTCACTACATTGTACTTTTTTCCTCATTGTCCTGCCTGAAAACTTGGTTCCGTACTCTCTCGTATTCTCCAAATATCATTCTGATGAATGTGACAGCATTGTCATCGAAAAATGCTGCTGACTGTGTTATAAGAGCTTTTATTTTATAACTCCCCCTTTTTTGAATTTATCATATTTTTGTGAGCGATCAGAATAAATTATATTCAATAGCGTAAAGTTTCAAAATGTATATTCTTCAATGATGTTTTCTATCTTATTTACCAGACACGTGTACGGACACCAGTTGTAAGAATGATGGAGTATGTGTTTCACAGGCAGGAAAGCACTTCTGTATCTGTCCACCAAACTATTCCGGTAACTCCTGCGAGTTGTATGAGGGTAAGATGACCTATCAAACCAAACTAGAAAAAACCAACCCAACCAATAGTCTACCATATTCTGAATATTTCATTGTATTTGGCAATATTGCTTGATTTCACGGATCAAGTTATATACATTGTATGCACGGTTAATGTTACCAAAACATCACCCTTATACCTGGTATTTCTGTGTTTAGGCCCTTGTCTATCCAGTATCTGTCAAGAGCGCGGTTTGTGCTACCAAAACATCACCTCTATAAATTGTTTGTGCCAAATAGGATATTCGGGAGACAAATGTCAATATGGTATGTATGTTATTTGTATGACAATAAACTTTCATAATTTAATACTTTGTTACATATTTGCTGGTGATAAGAAATCTCATATCACCATTAGTGTTATACAACTTTTCCAGTGAGGATATTACTTGTAATTTTTGCCAATCAGAGCATTGCCAGCGCTTTCAAGTCATTGCATTGAAATTTGCCGATTTTCTTGTTAGTACGCGAATGACTCGAAGGTCAAAAGAAACCGGTTTTGCACCAAATCTGTCCTATTTGTATTACAGATATTCTCTTAACTGGTATACACACCATTTTTGTTTGCAATTCTTGTTTTGCGTTTAGTAAAAGTATTCCACGTGAAGGTCTCATTTGTGTAAATTAATATCTGATAATAGATACTCTGCCATACTCGTGAAATATATGATATAGAAAGACATGTGTGATATTAAAATCAAATATCTAGACAGAATTCAATAGATTCATGGGTAAATATTAATCAGTAAGTAACGATAAATTCAATGTAGGGTCAAAATGTCTTAACAATGTACTCTCTGAGATGAGAAAAATATCCAATTTTGGTTCTGGTAATGATTTTTGCAAATGACGATTTTTAGAAAATAATTCAAAGGAAAAACATCAATGTGTTACTGCACTTATTTTTCCAAATTAGAATATGAAACAGAAAATATTCAACCTTTTAAATCACATTTTTGTCTTGCATTAAAAGGTTATTGTATTATGCTTCGATATACAAAAGAAAAGAACTTTAGCAAGGAGAAAACGTTGAATTTGATGATGCTATATAACCGAAAATTGACCTTAGAGCAGTATAGATGTCAAATGTAAGATTTAATATCACATTTCCGAAGCATTGTTTGTAGAATCATTTATTGACTGTTTATATATAAGGAATTCTTGATAATAAGGACATCAATTTATTAAATGTATTAAAGGAAGCGTGAACAGTGTGGAAGGCGTTGGTAAGTTAACTACAAAAAATAATGAAACCATGAAAATTGGGTTGATATGGTTTTCGGTCTTATCCTCTTAGGTTGAATTAAATGTAAACTAAATTTTCATGGTTGCATTATTTTTCATATAATGTTTTGCCAAGTTTAAGGGTGTCATAAGACATTTTTTTTTGTTTTTGTTATTTTATTTCAATCTATTATTTACAAATGCCATATATAGAGAAACAGACATTTTTCCGTACGAAGGTTCAATGTACACCATGTACAAGACGATAAATACATATTCACTGCGAACGCGAACCTATTGCATGCATGATTAAGACGAGTGCAGAAGGGATTTAAATTTGAGCGACAAAGAGATTTTTGCGAGGCTACTTGAAAGTAGAATAGATGATAAGTCCATGTATGCAATAAATAGATGTCTTCTGCTTTCGATTTTCTGATATACCATGTGTAGTTTCTAAAATCAAGAACTCGAAATCCTGAAAATTTGATATCATCTTCTTACCAATGACGAGCCCAAAAAGGATGTAACAGTTTTATGAAGTCGTTAATATAATAACAACTAATTATAAATACCATGCTCTATATATTTAAAACTTAAGTGAGTATTGAAAGGAGCTTACATTTGTATGTCTTCTATACAATTCTATTATAATACGATAGTTGAATAATTATCGGTCAAGAATCGTTTAGACTCAGATCACAAAGTATATGGTGTCTATTATAACCTTTGTGTCGTATGTCGGATGAATAAAACCTTACTTGACAAAAGTGTATATAGAGTATATATGGATCAGTCAGTGGTCACTAAGAGTGAGCTTGTCTCACTCTCATTTCACATCTATGTCCTTTGTTTTTGTATGGTAAATATTTCATGAATATCAAACACTTCTCTTCAACAGGCCTTCTTTTCTCCCGGAGCATTCCCAATTCATGTTACGTGCTTTATGCATAGTAAATGTTTCATGAACACCTTTATAACATCTACAGGCTCTTCAAAGTAAGCAAATCTATTTAATAAATCAGTATAAATTCAAATAAGGTTTTCATCGGATTTTTTTTTCAAATCACTTATGAAATGTAATTTCAGTAATCCAAATAACATGATGTGTAAATGTAAAGTAACCAACTTCTTCACTACTTGCGTTTCGTTATATTGTGTTTACACTAATTATTTAATCATATAATCATATAAATAAGTGCATGTATTCAAGAATATCAGCTCCGTGTTTGTTTCTTCAATCTAGGTGTATATCGATTGTTTCGATTGTTCAAATAAAGCAAGGAATATTGTTTCTGTACTCAATCTGATAATGACAGGAAATTGCACAGTAACACAAATTTTAACATTTTAAGCGATCTATTCATGATTATGAAAATTTCACTGCAATACTCGTTATTTTAAAACCTTACTACCACTACTACTAATAAATAAATAAATACAGCTTCAGTGTTTCTCCGGGATACACCGACGTCATCCATGACGAAATTAGTGCATATCTCACGACGGACGTCTTGACTAGGAATCAAGGGGAAGTAAGCATCGGAGTACTGATGATACAGCCTACTACAGAAGGTCGTGGACGAACTTGTTTACAGATACGAGATTCGATGAGGTAACGTATGTATAAAGTACATAATTGTTGCTATCGTCTTCTTGAGAGCTATCAAATAGTGTCTATTTCGTCTAGGTAAAGAAAAGGAAGCGACACCAAGGTCTTACTTTTCCGTTGACGTTACTGTCCATATCAATGCCTAGACATGACTTTAGCGTAGTACTCTGGAAAGTTTGGGTACTACAACATTGAAATCACATGCAAATTTGTACATAATTTTCATTGCATATCATAGTAAGAATAATTACGATTTTGAACACTTTTCATCGTGTTCGGAGCATTATGAAAATATTCAAAGACTGCTTTAGGTATACGTGTATTTAACATACATCACATAAAATTTTCTGAAACTTTATTATCATTTTTCACAAACACTTACCGAGAAAATATATAATGCTGTGTAACGTTTACAATTCAGAATGAAATTATGTTTTAATTTCAGTGGATCCATTGACGAAATGTGCTTCATCATCGACATCCTAAACGGTAGGTTTATGATAACAGAATTAATCTAATTTTTATTGGTAAGATCAAATTCATATCTCAGAATATTCTCTCGACTGTCTGTATTCATTTCTTGTTCGTTTTACAGTAGTATGTGAAAGTCTGTTGTAGGGGATAACGTTTCATATTATAACCAAAGAGGGTGTCTGTTAAAATGGCGCCTTTGCTGAATTGGTACTCGCTCGTATCGTATAAAGCGTGGTCTCACCCAAAGAGATAAATAGGTCCTATATACAAGATGCTGTGGAAAACGGTCAACAGGCAACATATGAAATACTGAACATATTGTAATAATCCTTTCCGTTTCAGGAGAGACGACGTCAATAAACAAGGTAAAACGTCAGAACCTAACGTTTTGGTTAACTTTATACAGCATTCATCCATTTACTTTAATGCACTATGAAACGTTATTTGGGTGTATAATGCTGTGAAAAGTGTCAAAATGAAAATGTGCCTGGTGTTTGTACTATAGCGAAAAGAACTAAGAATTAAACTGTCATGTTAATTTTATTAAAGTAAGAAATAAACCAACACTAAATATCTATGTCATAAAAAACAAAATTCTTTTTTAAAACAGATCTTTTCTTGTGCAATTGTGATACAAGAACATAAATATCTATTTTCTGTGTTTAGATCTTCCCATATTTTGAAACACCTACTCCACAAAATAATACAATCTTCGAATGCTTTACTGGATCTGCATGTCACATAATGATCTGGACTCACAAAGCTGATGGTGAAGTGGAATGGTATGCAGTGTTTTATTCCAATGCCATTTTATTCTAGTGACGTAAAATAATTTCAACAATTTAAGAGTTGCTGTATGAATATACAATCCATATGCACAGCACATTTCTAACGTCAAGTAAATAATTTTACTTGTGATTGAGATTAACAAAGATAGACAAAGCCAGCGATAAAGAACGCTGTTTCAATCGTTTTACAGTTTTCTTTTCAAAGAGATAACGTTGTTTTTGATTGAAATTTCTACTTCAGCCCAAATGTGCAAATAGGTAACAGAAAAGCTGATACCATTGGCACCATCGTTATCCAGAATACGACTTCCACGTGCGTAATTGATGTAACATTGAAAACGCAGGATTTGAGTGAATCCACTGACATATGCCTAACGCTTAGGCCTAAGAGTGAAGAACGCGAAATCTACGAGAGGTAGTATTTATTGTGGTCTATGTAAAGAATTTCTTATCTTTTAATTCATACATTGTATTTCATTTCTATGTGGTATTTTATTTATTTATATATAGTATCTCATTCTGCCTTGCTTTTCTTATGGGTTTCGGTATCGTATCAATTTTGCTGATTAGAAACACACCATTCTTATTTACAGGGGAATAGGCGACAGAAGATGTTACAGTATAAAACTGGGTGTTAATAATACAGGTAGGTAGTTCATCAAATAACCTAATTTACCTGTATTTCCATAGTAACTGCCAACATAAAAATATAAGTGCATGTTGCACTCTTATGATTCATATTGCCATTCTATTTTGAAGCTACAAGTCCCTGTTCCAACTTTTTGTGTTATAACGGTGGCTACTGTGATTCACAACAAGGCGTTCCTGACTGTTTGTGTCGCCAAGGCTTTTCCGGACAACAGTGCCAACTAGGTAAGGAAATACCGACTATTCAATTATCTACTATCAAGACTAATTCAGTGTCTTCACATTCTCTCAATATCGTTGAATAGAATTTACAAAAGACGCAAATGAGTTGCACCTTTAAATGCAAATTCAGATTAAGAAAGAGTAGAACCAAACAATGATTTAAACTGCATCATACAGTTGTGACGTTTTTTCTAGTACTTGTAAGTTATGCTAAAGGCCTAACGTTTGAACAACGCCTAGTCTTATTCTTAAGTTTTTTAGGAGTCTCCGTTTATATCTTTCTTTTATCATATTTTGTCTTAGTTCATCGAATGTAAGTTTGAATTTGGATTCTGTTGACATGACGATATTTTGTATTATTATTGTTATTATTATCTAAGTTCAATTTCTAAAGGCAAGAATTAAATTGTTTTAAATTTTCTTTCATTAGAAACTTCACTTATATATAAATACACATCCATTCACATGTACATATATTTGAACAGTTAGAATTCAGAAACGGGTAGAAGATTGTATTTGCTCACACACTTGAAGGTATTTGATTAACATACGAGGGCTGATTGATAAGTTGTGGGCCTTGTATTGAAGATGTTAAGCAGGGATGTCCTTTTTCGTCTCTGCTATTCCATGGCTATTTAATTCTGTGTACCCGAAGACTGGTGTCATTTGGTCAGTTTATGTTAAACAGGTATCACTATGATATGAACAAAGCAAGTGGCTTTTGCAAAATGGACAGTCACTGTTAGAGCAGCGATTCAATATTTGCATAAGAAAGGTTTAGTATCCACTGATATGGTAGCAGCACTAGAAAATAATGCCCCTTCATATGCTGCAATGAAAAGGTGGGTGCCAACAGAGCAACGTATTAGACCGAAAACTACGAGTGACACCTCAATATTAATACAGTTTAGATATAGTTAAATACGTTATATACTGAAAATATATTAATATATAATTGCTATTTATTTCAGTTCACCCTGGAGTTCACATGAATACTGCCGCTAACAGACGTGTGGTAAGTGAACTAACAGACGTTTGGTAAGTGAACAAACATACGTGTGGTAAGTGAACAAACAGATGTTTGGTAAGGGAACTAACAGACGTGTGGAAATTATACTAACAGACGTGTGGAATGTGAACTAACAGATGTTTGGAAAGTGAACTAACAGACGTGTGGTAAGTGAACAAACAGACGTGTGGTAAATGAGCTAACATACGTGTGGTAATTGTATTAACAGACGTGTGGTAAGTGAACTAACAGATGTGTGGTAAATGAACTAACATACGTGTGGTAATTGTATTAACACACGTGTGGGAAGTGAACTAACAGACGTTTGGTAAGTGAACTAACAGACGTGTGGTAAGTGAACTAACAGACGTGTGGTAAGTGAACTAACAGACGTGTGGTAAGTGACTGATTTGTACACGATATTCCGGAAACACAGATTTAACTACAAGGCAGAGTCACTCTCACATTCACATAAACATCATATTTTCAATTTTCAATTAATAATTAGGAGATATGATTCAATCGTACCCGAGTCTATAAATAAACTGAAGTATGTACTGATTGCCTACTAAATAAAGGGAAGAATACCTTGTGTAAATGAAATGAAATGCGAGCAGTTAATACATCATCAGCAGGAGGTTTGCTTCCCTTCCTCAGTCCATGTAAGCATCAAAATAGACATTCAATCAATATATCAACATATTTCTACAATACCGTCACGTCATTTTGTACCAGTTGTAGTAATGGCACTTGTTTGAAAACATATGGAGGGAATAGCTTCATTCGCCTTACTATCGTGTATCTTGGAAAAAAATGATACTTTTTAAAAATTGCAATGTACAAATTGTTTTATATTCCAAACCTAACTCTTCCATTTTGCTTTCATACACAAACTTTAGAATTTTGCCGACGACGCATTTCCAAGCAACATAGTATGCCAGTTGGAAGAAAAGTGCTCGTTTATTGTCAACCTTTGGAGCCCTAGCCAGCAGACGTACGTCACTAAATGTCAAAAATGTTCTTGCCATTGAGTAGTTCCATCTAATAAATGAGGAACTTACGTAAATTTGTTAGATCGTGTCTGTCTTTCACTGTCCTGGGGAAATCGTAAGCATAAAAATATCGCTTTCGGTAAGAGAGAATAAAGATGATTCAGTAACCCATAGTGTCAGGTTTACATGATTCAATGGCCTAATACATCATGCATTTTTTCTTATTCTCATAGTCATTATGTCTAATTTCAAGGACGAACTTCGTATCTCTGCATTGTGTCATTCGGGTTTATCTCACTATTAGGGTAACACACAACGCGAGCTTTTTTACTGATTGCGATTCAGATAACCTCCTGCTTCACATCATTATAACGATTATATTTTGTCAGTTATAAACAGAAAAAAATACTATTCATCTTCATTTTGTATGTCATCTTGCCTTAATAAAAAAATTGAAACAGGACTGAAAGGCTAATGAGTTCAAATGAGAAAATATGCGAGATGTGAAGCTGTTTTCGTTCATTGTGCCTGTCATGAAACATTTATTTATCGTTAATATATTAAATGTGATGTTCAGCATAATTGCCCGGTGGACGATTCTTTTGCAGCCCAAATGTTTGGTTTGACCACATAGACGATTCCATCATAGCGGAGCAGCCCAACAGAAACCACACAATCGAGACATCGCCAGGAATATACGCTATGACCATCACAGTGAACGGAACACGAGTTGGCACGTTTGAAACCATTCTTCAGACATCAGATAACACCGGGTAAAGTAGCAGGACATTGTATTAAATATATTACTTCATATAAGTCGTGATAAAACGTAGATATACAAAACAAAAAAAGAAAGGTAACACTACTTTATTCTGTGATTAAATAATTAATCCCTTCATAAATCCTTGCCAATCATGTACGAATAAAGTAACTGATCAATTCTGATAAAACTGCAGTCATGGTTCATTATAAAACTTTGCGTTCAGTTGATTTTATTCGACTGTAAAAGACGTTGGGGTCAATTTCAAAGGTAACACCATTAGTAACGGGTATGGCCACCGTTTGCGAAGTAAACAGCATTGCAGCGTCGTCGCATGGAACCCGTAAACCGGCGAATAATTCAAGGAGAGATGTTGTTCCATTCAGCGATCAAGGCTTGGGCGAGCTCCTGCAAGTTTGACGGCTGATTTTGACGTTCTCTCACGCGTCGCCCAAGAACGTCCCAGACATGCTCAATCAGTGACATATCAGGTGATTTAGATGGCCAATCTAACACCTGTACGTTATTCTGCTGCAAGAAAGTTCTGCTGACGCGACTGGTGTGCGCTGGTGCGTTATCCTGTTGAAAAATGGCGCCAACGCCATGGCGTCTTAAGAATGGAGGAACCACTGGTCTTAAAATTTCGTCCCGATATCGAATGCCGGTTAAATTGCCATTTAACACAACAAGCCTGGTACGAGTCCCCCCACAAATACCACCCCAAACCATTACACTTCCGCCGCCAAAGCGGTCCCGTTCTGCGACACAGCAGTTCGCAAAACGCTCCCCATTCCGTCACCGTGTTGCAGACAAAACCTGGACTCATCTGAAAACAGAACATTGTTCCATTGTCGTAAGGACCAACGACGGTGAACACGGGTCCAGTTACGCCGATTATTACGGTGACGTTGCAACAAATTTGGTCCAGTGTAGGGACGCCGCGCTTTCAATTGGTAGGCTCTCAACCTGTTGCGGACTGTTTGGGGAGACACACGACGCCCAAACAATGTTCTTGTAGTCTCTACTGCGGTTACGAATCGATTCCGCAAGTGTATCAATCGTATACGACGGTCATCCCTGGCGGTCGTTTTACGGGGTCGGCCGCTTCGGAGACGATCGAATGTTGACCCAGTTTGGTTTAAACGACTTACCAACTGGCAAATTGTCTTAACACTGCAACCAAAATGCCGTGCAACTCGACGGCGAGACTCCCCAGCCTGGATCATGCCTTCAGCCCTTTCTCTCTGTACTTGTGACAGCCGGGGCATAATGATAAAGTTCATAGATAGCAAGATTCGGTGATTTTTAAGTCCTAAGGATCTAAGGAACAGTTGTCAGTTTGAATGTTTCTGAAATTCAAGCGAAGATACAAGTTAGTCGCAGAAAACCTCGTGCAGCTCTTTCGCTAATACAGACTTTCACGCTTGAATGATTTTGGTAATCCCCTTGGATTTTGTAACGTAACACATTACCATTTTCTAATATTGCACAAACGTCATTATGTTTTCAGTCATTTACAGGTATTCGCCAAGGAAACATGTTAACCTTTCTTTTTTGTTGAGTATATTTGCCAAGCGCAAACTGAATTCAGAAAACTATATTGCAACTGTACAATAGTTTGAAAATTGTTGATGTTGAATTGGTATTTTAGATTCATTTATACAGAAGAAAAAACATAATGTAGTTTTAATATATCTGAAAATAAAAACAAAATCACCGCGATGAATACAAATATCAGTGAGCGACAAAATAGATAATATATAAGAGGTCACATGTAGTGGTCAAAAGGCAAAAGTATAGAGACCCTAGTAGAACTGCTGACATGTCCTCACCTTAACGGTAAACGTATGTATGTGGGAGGGACAGTTGCTTTGCTAACACTCTCTCAAACTCCCATCGACTTTAGTTTTCCGTTTATATACCAGCTATATGGGAACTGTAAGCCAACAACTCAAGCAAAAAAATATACCAGTAAACGAACATGTGTCTCACTTTGTTTAGCCCTTCAAAAACTGGTCACTGAACGTATCCGGTATTACAGATCTCTGAAAGTTATGTACTTACTTCTTTATATAGACCTCTCTCACAGGAATCCTTCCGAATTCCTGTCGCTACGCATTTATCACCATGAATAAATTAGTATAAATAATTATTCCCGTAAATTGTAATTCAAAAATGTATGTATTGCATTTTCATTTGGAAAATAAGATTTTCAATTATCATTTCAAAATTAGTACAGTTTTTCACAAAAATAAATTACGACTTTTGCAGACACTAAAGCGTATAAACTTATCTCCGTATAAATATCCCCTGTATACATCGTCGTACCTCGTCTTAAGTTATCTCCATTTTAAGTTCCCAGTATGCATCGTCGTACCTCGTCTTAAGTAATCTCCATTGTACGATCCCAGTATGTATCGTCGTACTTCGTCTTAAGTAATCTCCATTGTACGTTCCCAGTATGTATTGTCGTACCTCGTCTTAAGTAATCTCCATTGTACGATCCCAGTATGTATCGTCGTACTTCGTCTTAAGTAATCTCCATTGTACGTTCCCAGTATGTATTGTCGTACCTCGTCTGAAGTAATCTCCATTGTACGATCCCAGTATGTATTGTCGTACCTCGTCTTAAGTAATCTCCACTGTACGATCCCAGTATGTATATGTATTGTCGTACCTCGTCTTAAGTAATCTCCATTGTACGTTCCCAGTATGTATTGTCGTACGTCTGATTAAACAATATCCAGTGTACGATCCCAGTATGTGTTGTCGTACCTCGTCTTAAGTAATCTCCATTGTACGATCCCAGTATGTATTGTCGTACTTCGTCTTAAGTAATCTCCATTGTACGTTCCCAGTATGTATTGTCGTACCTCGTCTTAAGTAATCTCCATTGTACGATCCCATTGTACGATCCCAGTATGTATTGTCGTACTTCGTCTTAAGTAATCTCCATTGTACGATCCCAGTATGTATTGTCGTACCTCGTCTTAAGTAATCTCCATTGTACGATCCCAGTATGTATTGTCGTACTTCGTCTTAAGTAATCTCCATTGTACGATCCCAGTATGTATTGTCGTACCTCGTCTTAAGTAATCTCCATTGTACGATCCCAGTATGTGTTGTCGTACCTCGTCTTAAGTAATCTCCATTGTACGTTCCCAGTATGTATTGTCGTACGTCTGATTAAACAATATCCAGTGTACGATCCCAGTATGTATTGTCGTACCTCGTCTTAAGTAATCTCCATTGTACGTTCCCAGTATGTATGTACCTCGTCTTAAGTAATCTCCATTGTACGATCCCAGTATGTATTGTCGTACTTCGTCTTAAGTAATCTCCATTGTACGATCCCAGTATGTATTGTCGTACGTCTGATTAAACAATATCCAGTGTACGATCCCAGTATGTATTGTCGTACCTCGTCTTAAGTAATCTCCATTGTACGATCCCAGTATGTATTGTCGTACCTCGTCTTAAGTAATCTCCATTGTACGTTCCCAGTATGTATTGTCGTACGTCTGATTAAACAATATCCAGTGTACGATCCCAGTATGTATTGTCTCTAATCTAATTAAATAATCCCAAGTGTGCGCTGACAGTATACATTACCGAATCCCGTCTTAAATACCCTCAGTGTACGCTCCCTGTATCTATTGTCGCTCATATATTTAGTGTGTGCTCCAAGTATGTATTGCCGCATATCTGATTAGATAATTTCTGGAGTTCAAGTTCTCAATATTCATTTCCGTAACCTTCGTTAAATCTTTTAAAGAGTGTTTATTTTTAAATGTCTTCTTCGTTCCAGGTTAGTGTCCGACGAACTTTGGTTTCGGTATGACATAAGAACAGGTAATTGTCATTGTCGGAAGCATGTGTTTTTAACAGAAGTTATAGATCATCATCGATGTTCAAGACAATCAACATCACAACGTTCATTCTTAATACAATTGGAAAAGTTCGGATGTTCAAAAATTCAATAGTTACAACTATTCTTAATAGATTTGCGGATGGAAATATCAATGATCAGTGCCTGCAAATACTTTCCATGAAGTAATAATCACACATAAATTGTATAAATGGACGCCTTTTGTCGTGTTGCTACTTACATTGTGTTATCATTTTATAAAGGATCCTCAGAGACTTTAATGGAAAATCAGGTAAGTAGGTTATATTTAATCAGAATCTAAAAGTGATGGATCTCACGTTATTTTACGTTTTACTTAGTTTGAGTGTGATTTATAACTTTGTTTCGGTATATCTATTAATTCTAATGGGTAACATTTTAAAATCATAATTCGTTCTGATTAGGGCTCCGCATTGAAATAAGGATATCCTATAGTTTTTTAGGTTTCTCTACAGTATCTCAAATCCTGTTGGGCTAATGGCATTTTATGCCAAGTCTCCTTGAAGGAAGTGCTTGCTTGGGGTGTGTAGCTTTTCATCTCCTATGGTTAAAAGTCAAGGTCACTGTTGCTATGAATAGAAATTCAGTTACCATGTGAAAATGTTTTGGCCTATCTAACCCAAACTTCATATAATACTTCCTTACTGTGTTACAAGTGTTTGCATGATATTGCTTTACAGTTTTGAAGTTAAATCAAGGTCACTGTCACTATAAATATAAATATATCAGTTTGCCTGCGATTGGTTGAGCAAACTCAAACTTCATACAATGTTTCCTCACAAAAGTGGCTTGCTTTGGATTGGTTTTCAGGTCTCGGGGTCAATGGTCTAGATTACTGTTACTCCTAGTAGAAAATAAGTTTCCGTTCTATCACTTTCCAGTCTCATAGCGGGGCCCTTGCCTACCTGTCCTGTTCTAGTTTTAATGAGTTTAATTGGATTTATAACTTTGTTTCGATATGTCTGTTGTTATAACGGGTAAACTTTTTTCATTAATCAATAACCCAAAGCTAACCCAGATTATGTTAAATGATCACTTCACGGGCTACGTAATGATAAGTATACAGAAATGCAAACTGCTGACGATTTATGTAAATTTATGATCTAGTCTTAAATGTAGGCTCCTATTTTATTTGCTTTAGTTGGCGCATTAACGTATTTTCGTCAAAGTATGACTTCATTATCAGCGTTCAACTGTTACTAAATTGGCATATACCAAAAACCTCAATGACTGTCCAAGGTTGAGACCATAGGTATACATAAGTATACGAGATTTGTGGGGTTTTCTTTTATATATATCTACCCGTAATCTTGTTTGAGATTAATGAAACAAAAAATGAATACTTTACTATCTTCTATTGAAAGCTGTATATTTTATATTTGTATTTTATCATTTCTATTTTAGCCACATTTTACAAAACCGTCATTTCCCGCGGAATCGGCCATCATATGTTCCAATGAACGAATGTGTCATATAATCTTACTGTCGGAGTCGGCAGCTTTTGAACAATGGTAAATATGTATATTTTATAAAATACAAAATATAGTTTAATATGACATATTGAATAAAAGGTCAAGAAGTAGGTACATACAACTCTAAATAATTCATATTATCAATACATATAACTGGAATTAAGATATTTATTTTTAACATTTCTGGTCGTTTTTGTTGTTTAATCTACAGCCACAGGTTTTAATGGCCCGCTACACTTCAACATCGTCATGGTTCATAGGTTTTATAATGTTATGGCCGTTTTCGCAAACCTGACCCATTATACGTTGGTTTCGTTTCAAATAATAGTAACAGTTTCATGAATTTTTGTTATATTTCACATTCTTAAGTCCACACGTGGAGTTACTGGGCGAACCTAGGGACAGCATATATATTTTCCAGGAAGAGAAGAGAACGGTGACTGAATATGGTAGTTGTGTGGCTGATGTAGCTCTACTGGCGTCTAACAAGCAACTCGCTATCGAGCGTTTCTGTTTCCGTCTCTCACTCCCCACGTAAGAATGATTATCCTCGGTCTTATTAGAAATCAAAGGCAATTACACTAATGAATCATATTATATGTATAATAAATATATTAATAAACTGTATTATCATAATTGATTGTCAAGATATGGAGTGTAGGTCACAACAAACACTCTCCTGGTCAATGAAACAAATCGGTTAGAATAATCGTAATCAACATTGGTATATCAGAAGGGTTAATGAGAACATGATTGCTTACATACAAAATTTACAACTAACTTAATGGTTCTGGTAATCATCCGATCTATATGTATTAACTTCTTGCTTCTTGATATGTTATATTATATATACCTGTAAATTGTATACTTATCTACAATGATATCTATATCGAGCGTTTAAAAATTGAATCTGAGGACTGGAATTTTCGTTTGCTTGATTGGTGTGTTGGATTTATCGCCTCTTGAACAGTTAGGGTTATTTTGAAGCAATGTATCCTAGTAGAAGCTGATGACTACCTCACAGAACAACATTCGGGAGGCGCATTTGCCTTCCAGGGTCACTGGGGTGTCTTGTCCAAAGACACAACCACGTCTACAAAGAGAAACTCAAACTGCCATGGCTAGGGTGCGTCAAACCTCTCATCTCAGATCTTCGCCTAAAGTTACTTTACAACTAAGGTTTCGCGGCTAGCGAGTATAGGTTTATGACAATTGTTTTCGATTTTCTGATATGAGGAGACGCATATGTACAAGTATCGAACTAATCCAGATTTACATAGTATTTTTACTTAGTGCTCAACTGGCAATGTGCATTACCTATACATCGAAATTGTAAGAAATAATGGACATCTCTGTTTCAGTGTACCGGGTGAGACGAGGTGCTACAGAGTCCAGTACGGATCAGCTGTCTTATGAATAGAGAAGTGGAAGAAAATAATGACCTGATAGTAATCAACGACACTGTAAATCAAACATAAGGACAAACCACACGAGGTGGGCAAACCGGAAATTGGTGCGAGATATATAATTATGCAATGAAAAAAAATAGCCCTGAAAGCCACCATTATACTTTGCAGAAATGCATATATGTGAACTGGAGATAAAGAAGTAATAAAAATCTGATGTACAACCTACCATTATACACATTACGTGTGTTATCAACAGATGGCCACATTTAAAAGTGCATATTAAAAATCGATTAATGTGATAAACATTATTGACTAGTTATAAACAGTTTTGTAGTAATAAATCTATGAGTGTGTGCAATACATACGGGTTTTTTTTCATTTATAAAACGTTCCTAGCCAGTGCTAAGAGCCACATCTACATTTGCAATGCTAGGATTATACAATAATTGTCGATATTCACAACGTTATAGATCAAAATCTACTTATATTAGTCCTTATCTTGTCCTCATCAATTTTTAAATCATAATTATTTCCTGAATAGTCAAGGTATAGAACTGAAGGAACTAAGACTCATAGCCTAAGTTTACTAGCCATCAAGTATACTGTAATGGACACCCAATTACGACTCCCAAAGGTTAATACTATTAAATGGTGTAATTGGCCATTGTTTTGCTAATTTGGAAGTACAACTTGTCACGTCGTTATTAAATTATCTTATATATGACACTCGGTATCCAATACTTAAATCTAAGATATCTTCATATATAGAAATCAAACGACAAGGTTCCATTTTAACATTTAATTATTCCTTACATAATCAATACATATACAGTGATCAATTTACCCCCTGTCTCCATTTCGTCAACTCAATATTTATTCCAGTGTAAATGTTGGCAAGCTTTAATTGATTTTCCTGTAAATGAATTAGGTCACAGCGTCAAGTGTAGAATGAAATATGCACATATTGGTTGACCGTGTAGATGATAATATACATACGGTGATGTTTAACATGATAATGACATGAAAATGTGATTATAACTAAAATTAATTGGTAGTTTTGCAGTTAACTATACTTTCATACCCAAAAATCATATTTCCCCGGAATCCCCTTTTAAATGATCAAGTTTCTTACTTTTTTACTTTTCTATCTCTCGAAATGGCAAATGCTTTCAATTTGAAAAACGTTATATTTACTGCTAAAATTTATGGAAGTCGTGAAATATTTCCAGAAATTAATCATTAAATTATAATCTGATTAAGCATAAAGTAGGTAACAAATAAATATAAGAAAAAACAAGAAGATCAGGATGTTTAATTTGCAGAAAATCCTTGTGTTTTGGTACATTAACAGACAATTTGAGCCTAGTAGTTTAGTACATTAACAGAAAAGATTGAGTCTAGCGTTTTGGTACATTGCTGAGAAGATTAAGCCTAGTGTTTTGGTACATTGCTGAGAAGATTAAGCCTAGTGTTTTGGTACATTACTGAGAGGATTGAACCTAGTGTTTTAGTACATTACTGAGAGGATTGAACCTAGTGTTTTAGTACATTACTGGGAAGATTGAGCAGAGCGTTTTGGTACATTACTGGGAAGATTGAACCTAGTGTTTTGGTACATTACTGGGAAGATTAAGCCTAGTGTTTTGGTACATTGCTGAGAGGATTGAGCCTAGTGTTTTGGTACATTACTGAGAGGATTGAACCTAGTGTTTTAGTACATTACTGGGAGGATTAAGCCTAGTGTTTTGGTACATTACTGAGAGGATTGAGCCTAGTGTTTTGGTACATTACTGGGAAGATTAAGCCTAGTGTTTTGGTACATTGCTGAGAAGATTAAGCCTAGTGTTTTGGTACATTACTGAGAGGGTTGAGCCTAGTGTTTTGGTACATTACTGGGAAGATTAAGAGGTACATTTGAGAGGAGAGCTAGTGTTTTGGTACATTACTGGGAAGATTGAGCAGAGCGTTTTGGTACATTACTGGGAAAATTGAACAGAGCGTTTTGGTACATTAAGAAAAATATATTGGGTCCTGTGTAGTTGTAATCAACAGAGATGTCAAGATGGTTTGGTGCTTTGCATTGTGACAACGATCACCGAAAAGAGGGTTTCAAACTGTTTAAAACGATTTGCTGCACATTAGAGAATTCGTTTTCAGTAATTAATGTTGCTCAGACAAGCTCGTTCAAATCAAGACAAAACATTGGATATTCAAGGAAAAACTCAAATTCTGGTTTCAAAGAGAAAATCTGGTAGCACTACATACTTAAAAACGTTACTTCCACATCATATAGTTGCATAAAAATAGAAACAAGTAATATGTACAATCTCAATTGTTAATTTTCAACAACAGAAAATAAAGGAAGTTTGGAAAAAATGCACATTTACAACACTTAAGTCTCCAAACATACATCAGCAGCAGCAAAAATTGTGACCAAAATAAACGAGTAAAAACAGCAGTTGAGATCATTGATTTCAATCAAATAACTTAATATTAACAAAAGAATTAAGTTTCAGTTCCAAGCAAACGGTGAAACAAAAAACGCCACCGACTTCATCAGGTCATATCATTCTATCATTCCATGTTATAAGTATACTTACTATCCTTACCAAGCTTTTATGCTGTTTTTGTCATAAATTATCAATGTTTTCCATAATGACGCAGCGAGACCTTTCATACGAAAGCATTACACTAGCATAAACAATATAACAACTAATGAGCAACTTAAACGGTTTATGACAGCCAATGAATGAGTCTGTAATGCACAAAAGTACATGTCTTAAGTATGTATTTGGTTGAGAACATAATTAATGTCAGAGAGAGTATGGAGCCACGATATCAGTAGTGAAATTCCTGTTTGACTCATTGAAACATCACAGTGCTTAACTTAATATTCTGGTGAATAAAATTTTAAAAATCTAAACCATGTCAATCTTTCTTGAGATTCAATCCTGAATAAACATCTTACAGCCATACCACAATCAATATTGGTTTCAATCATAAAAGAATGATTTATTTAGTAAATATATGTATACATTTCGTCGGTATCAATGCATTATACAATGGCGTATTTACATGTATTTAGCTACATATCAGTAGCGGCACACTATGGAAGTCTTATGTCATCTTTCTCCGACATTCAATTAGAGAGTGCATTCACTGCATAACAGGTAGTCAGTCTCACAAGACATATTCTTGTACTCTTTATACCAAATACACTTCATTCATATACATATACAGCAGATGAAGGCTGTTACCAGACATCTATCATTGGTGTCTACCATTACAACAGATAATATTTGGTATCAAAGAAATTATCTTCTTCTTTTCAGAGGGGCAGGTTTTGCCTTAATGTCCTTACACTTTGGTATGTGTCGTTCTGCTGCTGTTTCATTGTATCTGCGGTTACAATGAGGACACTGTATATAATCAGCATTTTCTGCCGGAGGAGGGGGAGGTAGGTTACTTAGACTGCCTCCTTCCTTCTGTACTTGAGCTATCTTTCTGGCGTACCTAATGTTATTAACGAATTCCTCGTGCTGCTTTCTCCAATTGCCTTTCTTTCCCTGAAATAAGAAATATGTAATATTAACTCAGACAAACTCTTTTCGGTAAATCTCCTTAAGGATATTGATGAAAATAAAGTCTCTTTTAAGATTGTAGTACTTGATAATAGGTTGAATCAGGACTTAATATTTTATAATATTCTACTAATGTTAACCAAATCAAACATGTAAAAATTCAGATAACTAATCGGATATAAAACAGAGCTATGATAAACTTACAGAAGCTGCACGTCTTTTGGGGGCGCCATTCTTTCCAATATATTTTTCCATTTCTGTTCCTTGAACCCTCATTTTGGTGCCATCTAAAACTTTACGTTTCTTTGTGATGTTACCACAGAATTCCCTGTGTTTGTTAATTCTGTCAGCATTGAATTTACGACCACAGTTTGAACACTTGACTTGTTTCACATGAGTATTTTCGAAGGCACCTTCCATACGTGCAGCTTGCTCAAAAATACTTAGATTTCCACCTCGAGCAGAGGGTAGCGGTTTGTTGTCATGGACGCTTTCAGAAGACATTGCTAAAGGATTTTGTGGTTGTGGAGGTCGACGGTTGATAGCCTTGCGCGCAGGCTTTGGCTGCGGTGGCGGGGTTGGTTCTGCTCTGAAACTTGACATATGAGAGGCATATCCTTCACTCCCATTATCTTGATATTGACTCTCGTATCTTGTGCGAGAATTGTTTGTCTTGCGTTGCTGTTCTGTCTTCCTCTTCAATTCTTCTTCAATCTCCCTTCTCTCTTTTTCTTCTCTCCTCCGTTTTTCATCCTCTTCTTTCATTTTTCTTCGTCTTTCTTCTTCTTTTTTCTTACGTCGTTCTCTTTCTTTTCTTTCCTGTCAAAAGTCAAATTCCTTTTCAAATTTTCAACTCAAAATAACATAAGATCAGAAAAGAATGGAACTACATGTTGTACAAATAAAAACCAATGAAATTTTCTCAATTAATTTCAAGTCCATGTTTCTTATCATTAAAAGCATTTCAATATTTCATACATTAGTCACTATAAATATTTTTTTTAAAAAACTTTGACTTGCCTCTTCCTCTTGTGCAGATCGCTGTTTCCTAATTCTATCAAGCTCAGCCTGTTGACGTGCGATTTTTTCCATGATTTCTTGCTGCTTCCTTTCGATATCCAATGCTGTTTCCCGCTGTGTGTTTGCCTCAGATTCATTTTCCTTTTCGTCCTCATATTCGTATTCTCCACCTATTCCCCGTTCGAGTGTGTGCTGGTGCCTCTTCAGTCGATCGGCACGCTCCTGATCTCTGTCTAACTGGAATTGCTGGAAGTCAGATGGTTTTGCAGTCTTTGTCGTTGGTGGTGCTTTCGGTGGACGCCCTCCATAACCAAATGCATTCACTTTCCGTTTCTGTGTATTTTTTAAGTTGGACAAATTTGGTGGCGGACTTTCATCGTCAGGAGTAAATTCGTTATTAGGTGCACTTTTTGGCATTGGGTCTTCACGTGCTGGTCTTTTCTCAGAGTCTTTTGTTCGTGGTCGACCATGAATTTGTGGTTTCCTTGGGAAAAAATCATTCTCTTGTGAATTTGTACGCTCTATTGGTGCAAGAGGGTTGGATTTATCTCTACCAGCGCTGGACATTTTCTGATATCTGGTCTTGTAGCCCTGCTGACCACCAGAGTTTTGTCGCTGATAACCCATATACTGCTTTTGACTGTTGTTAGAACCAAACGAATTGTGCCTGCTTAGTGTACTTGTCGGGGAATTATTGTTAATATGTACACCGTTTTCTTTCCTCTTTTGTTGATAGTGCTGGGTCATGGATGGCATATGATTCCAGTTACCGCTAGCTTCCATTTCACGTCGCTCTCGAAAGAATTCCCTTGCCATTCCTTTGGACTGTACACGGTTAAGTGCACGCTGTTGGTTTTCCTGGTACATGTTGACAAGTTTTTCTTCTTTATCTTTCAACATCCTTTGCTGATACTGTGCTTGCATCTGCTGTAAGCGGGACATCTTTGGCTGACCACCGTCCATATTGATTCTTTTGGCTGTGGTGGAATAGTCTAGTTTTTGGTAATTTGACGAGCCTCCATACACAGGCGAGCGGTCCAATGCACTACTACTCATTTGGATGTTGGATGCTGAAATATAGGAAAACATATAATTACAAAGTATCAATGCTATTGTGTTCTGGATCAGAAATAAAGCTTTAAAAGATCAATGTTTGAGGACAATTGCATACGATGAATATATTCCAACAACAAATATTAACACTATTGAAAATGACACGTTTAAAATCAAGTAATACACACGGTCATCATGTGCTTAGGAAAATTTCGAACAAGTATTTCCACGAGTAATATTTTACTTTCATTTCCTGTGTTAGATTTGGCATATGACTATATACACATAGGAAATGTAATTGTTTTCTTACTTTATCACAATAAGATAGCATGTCCACTAGACCTGTTATAAAACGTATCTAGAGCCATAAGGTAAAACATTCATGTCGTCAATGTAAGGATTCAACGGCCATTGATTTTTCCTTCAATTTTCTTACACCATTACGGTATAATTTAAATTTTGACTTCCACTGAAAATTATTTGTTTGAACAAACAAATCGCTATCTTAATTATAACGATTATAAAAAGAAAGCAATGTTATTACTTTCTGTTCATGATAGAGGGAAAACTGTTAACATTTCAGTAAAAACATAGCCTTAACAGAAACAGGTTAGAATTAAGAATTAATCGCATTTTATTTAACTTTTTAACTTTTTTATGTAGATGTACATTATGTAATTTTTTTCCATTTAATCCAGTCATTTCAGCATTTATCTTGAAAATCTAGTTACATTCTGTGTTTTGCACTATGATTATAAGTATTCATATTCTAATCAATTTTGAGATCATGAAAATAATGAAATTCATGAAATATTACAATATTAGCACATGTCGATTTTTTTCTTGAGAATATCAACAGATACAAGACAGTTGCACTGCAATCGTTACATGAAAAAATGAGCAGCGACAATTTAGTCCTAAAGCAAGAACTCTACAGAAAATTTGATTTCCTGTACAGCTGAAAGGCCAACAATGTTCCAGCAAAAGGTGTTTGACACCCAGCAGGGATCAAATTACAAGAGTGTTTTTCATTTCCCAAATTTAATTTTACGTTTTAAAACAACATATACATTATAATGTTTACATATCAGCCATTTGTCGAAAACCAATTCCTAATACACACAGTTATTTTTTCCTCTTTTATTTTTGAGTTAGAAACATAGTCATAGCTAGTGGTATACAGAAACCTCTCATTGAGAAGAGATGAAATAATAAAGAAACCCTGTTTCTATCTTACTGCACAATAGTTCTTGGAGATTTTCTCTTAATTTATTAAAATGTAAGATGTACAGAAAACAAAAATATACACACTTTCTTTTTAACTTTAAAAGATACACATCTTATATACATTTGTATTAATTTGCATATTAAGATCTGGTCTCACAGAGTATCACATTCAAAGATATGATCTTGCCAAGTGTCACATTATAAGATCTAATTTCGCACACTCTAAGCTATCATCTTGCAAGGTATCACATTCTAAAAACTAGTCTCACAGAGTATCACATAATAAAGTTTGGTCTCATAAAGCATCATATTCTAAGATAAGTATTAATTTTTAGTTGGAAACTTCTGGACAGATCATGCATCTCAATAATCTTTCTCTGATCCATCGATCTTCAACATCAGCAACTTAATTAACATTAATTTTTTTCAATTTTTTCAAGAATTTGTTACCAAAGAACAATCATGTCACAATTTTACTAGTTATCAGTTGCTGAGTTAAATATAATTGAAACTATAAGATTAAACAAATAAATAAGATGAAAATAAAGAACATGACAACTCCATGTTAACTTTGTAATTCAATATTGACTGTATGGAGCTAGAGGAACCCAAACTACCAAGTGCATCAAACATACAGTAATGTTCTCTCCAAACACATCAGCTTAGCATAAAAATACCAAGTGGTATTTAAGGTGCAGCAACATTATTCCCAGAAGAGAAAATGTATGATAGCTAGGAAATGAATATGATAAATCAGGTAGGATAACAGATCTAAGGCCAGTGGTATCAAACCTATTTACCAATGAAATTTTTGAATGCAAATATAATGGTTCATAAGTAAACCAATCTAAAGATTTGCAATATATATACATTACCTTTTAACTGGGTCAGCATGTATATTTCTTTGTAGTGACATTCTTAAAAGGAACCTAATCTTGCGACATATACGTGTAATGGCTTCGCCACAATCGAATGCATTCCCCATAATAATACACAATCTGCAGTACACATCCAGCTAAATCTCTGTTACCTACGTCAGGCAACAATGAATAATTAAGATGTTTTGACTATTGGAGAGTACCTAACCACTACTATCTTATATGTAGATAGAAATTGAATCCCAGTGGTCATAAATAATACAGAACCTAACATCAACACTATATAGGAAATTGATTCTGCAGTGCTACATTGTTTCAGGTACTACTATAAATACATAAATGTTTCAGAAGTTAATATATTGGCTGGTTCAGGTGACTGTTGATTTCTCATTCAGTGGATTTACTTCAGATATACTGTATATAAGCTAAACATGTAATATATATATATATATATTAAAAAGACAATGTACATTGTGTAGTAAAATGATGATAACATTGCAGCATTTCATTCCAGCATGCCACTGCCCAGATATCATTACTCTTACCAAAATTACAAAAACATTATGATATTTGATTTTTTTAAGAAGTTGCTTAATATATTTCATTTGACCCTTGAAAATGGGTCACTATGTAGCATGCTAGAGGCCAAAGATCAGGACCTCATTTGACTCCATTTAACTTAAAAGTGACAATGTTATTAACTTGAACAAACTTAAAAGTTAAAAACTTACTACAGAGTCTTGAGACACTTTTAGATGCTTTTTAAATTCCTATCACTATTAATAAACAATCTTTAATATTTGGTTTTTGGCCATTCAGACACAAATTTAGTAGAATAGATAATGAAATTAACATCATCATGAAACACTATATTTATAAAACTAGATGTTTTGATACCACATTAAACATACATTCACTAATAAACTCTTTCAAGGACCACCATAATGTCCAAAAGTATATAGCAATAAAAAAGGGTGGTACTTTTCTTGATAATTTTAACAAAGAATGGGGAAAATGGAAAAAAAATTCCAATTTTTTAATAACAATAGAAATATATTTGTTATCTACCTAACTCTGACAGTTGGACTCACTTTTATTTTGATTTTCTTATTAAGTAATGCTGTAGTCAATTTTGATCTCAATTAGTTTCTACTTTTGTTTCTGGAAGGTCTGTCTATCTGTCTCTACCTTACCCTAACTGATGACTCTTACACATGTTTGATATTTCTCTTTATACTTCAGGGTGTTTGTTTTGTCTTTGTACATGTCTTTGTTATCTGTCTTGTGTTTTGTCAATATATCTCCCTCCCTCTGTCTGTCTGTCTTGTCTTGTTTTGTTTTGTCATGTCTTGCCTGTCTGTCTGCTACTTGTAACTGTCTGCGTATGTCTCTATTCTTTTCTTTCATATAACATGACGCATGACATTATGGAATATTCACTTCACTTTAATTTCATTAAAACATGTATGATCATCGGGGTGTGAACTTATGTAAGCAAGGAATATATAAGCTAACTAGTATGAATGTGGCTGATTAATATAAAATGTCTATGCATGTTTAGAAAACTGGAATGAATGATCTTTTTTCTGTACATTATGTATTACTGTTATGTGTGCATGTCCTTTGAAAAAAATGAATAAATTATGAGTTATAAAAAAAAAAAAAAAAAAAACTTGAACAAACTTGGTACCATTCATTTCAGCAGGTTAAATGTCCATTACATATCTTGAGCTTGCATATCTTGGTTATTGAGAAGAATTAATTAATTTAAAGGTTTTTACACATTGGACCTATATGACCTTGAAAGGTAGTCAAGATCGTGTGAACAAATTTGGTAGCCCTTCATCCCAACATGCCACTAAACACCTTAACCCCTTGCCAGTTTTGAGGAAGGTGGTTAAAGAATTTTTACACATTTGACTTCTGAGGTAAAGTGACCAAGGGCATTTATCTGTAATATCTTTGTAGCCATTCATCCCAACACATTACAGACAAAACATCCGAGTCTGAGCCTCTTTGTTATTGAGAAGAAGTTATTAAAAGCTTTACAGGTGGGTTGAAGTTATCAACTTGAACAAATTTGTTATCCTTTCATTTAAAACAAGCTAAAGGCTTAGTATTATGACCCTAGACCTCTGCGTCATTGACCAGAAGTCATTTGAAGATTCATACACATTTGATTCTTGTGAACAAGAAGATAGGTCCAAAGTAATCCATTTGAATAAATCTGTTAGTTCTTCTTCAAAGAATGCTACAGGTCCAATATCATGAACTTTGATTTCTTCGTCATATTAAGGTAAAGTTGCTTGAATGAAAAATTAAGTTGATGGCAGAAGGACTCTGCACAGATATTGGATGAACAGCAGACAATGGATGCAGGCCATGGCATAAGCTCAAACAGATGTAACCATGGTAAAATACTAGCTGTATTATACCACTTGGCTAGAGATAACTTTTCATTAGCTCAGTTAAATGAAATAAATCATAACCTCTGTTATATTGGCGGCCTCTCAAGAATACTACTCAGTGTTTCGTTCATAAGTATCACGGTAGCCCCCAGAAACTTGAAAATGAATGAAAAAAAAAAAAATGAAAGAAAAACACAAATATAAAAACATATAGAATCAATAATAATCAATAATACAGTGAAGTCCTAAAAGATACAAAAGTATGAGCCACATGATATTCATGAAATAAATTTGTTGCAGATGAAAAAGACATCAATTTTTAAGTTTAACCATAAAATATCTGCAGTCTTGAAGTCATTTTTCCAACCACTATCATATTTTTTACATTTAATGTTATAATTTAAATATGAAAGAAAAAAATATCAAGCTTAACACGATACAATGTAGGACAACTGTAAGTCAATGTGCATTTTTTTATTACTACAAAGGAACACATTTATTCATGTATGTATAAAAATTCATGTAAAATTTATGTAAAATGTACATAGAAATGTATATGTAAATCCTTGCCTGGAAAGGAAGAGTTTTTTTCTCTCCAAAATCAGAGACAATAAGGACAATTTGGTAAAGACATGTGGTAAGGCATTTTTGGGATTCTCTGGTATTAAACAGGCTTAATGTTCCTAATACGTTTTAATCTTAACTACATGAGTCATATTAAAAAATATTGTGACAAACAAATATTTTGACGTTATTCTAAGCATTTCTGGACAATACATGTAAATCAATTAGAAAAAATATGTAACTTTAAATTCATGTTTGCATAAAAATTCATGTCAAGTTCATATAAAATGTACATAAAAATGTACATGTAAGTCCTTGTCTAGAAAAGAAGAGATTTTTCAAAATCATAAAAATTAAGGCAATTCATATAAAATGTACATAAAAATGTACATGTAAGTTTCTCTGGTATTGAATAGGCTATATGTTCCTGATACGTTTTACTCTAAACTACATGAGTCATATTAAAAAATATCGTGACATACAAATATTTCGACGACATTCTAAGCATTTCTTGACAATACATGTAAATCAATTAGGAAAAAATACGTAACTTCAAAAGTTTACAAATACAGACAAATAATCTGTGATTGTAGCCTAAGTGTCTTTTCTTTTCCTTTTTGGTGTATATCAGAATATCTAACCAGCATCATGAATAGGCCAGGGGATGTGTTAAAAAAACACTTTCACTTAATGATTGATTTGTATGATCTCTTATCGAACTTTAATTTCCATATCATAATTGGTTAAAATAACATATAAGCTTGCAGCGGAAAATGAATATCTTAACTAACCTTAATAATCGGAAGATCCTTTCTATCTGATGTTCGTCTGTCTGTTACTAATACCGGTATCGTGTGTATCAAAACAATGTAATGCCCCAATGGTCGTCGCCATATTGTTTATCGACTCTTGACGACCAGGATACATACACTTCATAACAAAGTAGTTCGTCATTAAATTGCATATAAATGTATACGGATGCAAATCATTCACATATTTGATGATATGAGTTTTAGATTTACACTTATTGGAAGAACTTTGTAATGGAATACGTAAATTATTGTTCGGTGTGGTGTTTATCTTATAAATGAGTGAAACGGCTTAGTAACCGAAAGTAACCGGAAGTTGAACTAATATCTCGCGCGGACTATCAAACTGATAAATATGCTGACTGTCAAAAACATGTATTATCAATGACATGTATTGATGTTTTTGGTAAGACTAATTTAATTGTTTACCATTTTATTCATTCATCAACTTCTGATATAGCTTTTTAACACCGCATGCGCTTATTATAACTAGGCTAGGTCACTAGTTACAAGTGACAAAGTGAAAATAGACTCGTGCACTTTCAATAACATGGTACAAAGTAAATATTATTATATTGAATTGAGTTTTAAAAGTCTGACGACAATGAGTGCTACTAGATACAGACGTCTTACGCAGTTTATTTTAAGTGAGCACATCGGAAACAAGGATAATGAAACTTGGCGTATACATCATAATGAGACGAGGTGCAATGTAGTAAAGTTGGGGCCTACAATCCATTCATTACAGAGTTACTGCCCTTCATTAAAATGTGTCCAGAGTATAATTTTGCTTGCATTCGAACCAGGATTATGAAACTTGGTGTAAACATTGACCATACAAGGATTATATGCAAAGTACCAAAGTCAGGGCCATCAACTTCTTAATTATAGTTATTGTCTGTTAAAATTTTGACCCTAGAGCATACATGCAATTGTATTTTGGATTGATGCTGATACATCTCACAATTTATTATGAGTTATCATGATCTTTGAATTCTTGATTATCTTCTACACCTTTTACAACATCACAATATTCATAAACATACACACTGCTGATAATAACTGTTGGTGCTTATAGAAGATATGTAAATATCAAACTGTAAAGTAAAATATAGCCTTACTTTTATAGCTCAAGCATACGTGATAAATTGTGTCAGACATGAATACCTATATGTAACATATACTCAAATATTAATCATTCTACTTCCAGACTCTCCATTTGAACACATTTTTACAGATCTGTATAATAATTATGACAAAATACAAAATTCACAAACAGGAAAAACCTCCAATTTGTTTTTGGGAGCATTCATCATTTCCACCGATACTCCTGTTAAATACATCAAGTATGTTCAAGCTGGTATTGCTGGTGTATTCCACATGAGTCAACTTGCACCTGTTTGTCTTAATTAAATAAATAAATGAATATAATATGATGGGGCGCTCCATAAGAGAAAGTCAGGGCACTATACTTTATACTTCATGTGTATTGATATTATACTTCTAAACCGCCAGTATATGGGAAAATCAGGTATAATTGGTTATAATAAGTTAGATAATGGGGTATGTTTTTGATTTTGTGCAACACTGTACAGTCATAATGGTTTTAATACACTTGAATTACTAAATAGACATTTGTAGTACAGGTGTTCTGTTCTTGCAAAATATACATTTTTATTGTTTTAATCAAGAAGAATCAGTCTCAACAAGCAGGAGGTGGATTCTTGAAATTTATTTTATTTGGTATTACAAATAACCAGCATCCAGCCTGTTGTGATTGACTTTTTTGATCGAAGCTCATCCTTCTCCATTTTAATTCCCTGCATACCTTTGGTAAACTAGACAAAAGACAAAGGGCCCATCTACTTACTACTTGAAACAACAATGGTGTGGTTCTGTCTCCAGATAAAGTTTTTATTGCTTTGTGTCTACATTTGTTTCAGATTACCCAGGTTCGAAAGATGATGGGACTGATTTCAAGGACAAAACTTTGATTTGTCTACATTGGTTGCTAATCTCCTTGTAAGATATGGCTGGACCAGTTATACAACCTCTATCCCCAGAGGTCAGATCCTACTTGAGGACAGGTGTGGCCCTCTGTAGTATCACTCAGTGTATGGAAGAGCTTGTGCTCAACTCTGTTGATGCTGGTGCCACTTGTATAGCTGTTCGCATTGATTTATCCTGCTTTAAAATCCAAGTGGTTGACAATGGCACTGGAATGACTCAAAGTCAGCTGGAACTTATTGGCCAAAGGTAAAGTATTAATATAAGTGTGTGACATGTGTTTTTCTATGCATACCTGTTTCAACATATGCTATCAAGGATAACATGATACAGTTTTATCATAATATTTCATCTGGGATCTTTGTATCTATGCAAATTTTCACTACATGTATCATTTCTTTGCACTGTAACAACATTTTATTTTGGCACAATCAAATTTTAGTGTAATTTGAACAAATAAGAACAATGATGAATTTGTGCATTTACAGTAAGTGCTATATTAACATTATACTGATACTACAATTAGCGCAGTCATATTTTAGGGCAATCATGTATATTAGCACAATATTAATAGTGTGAAAAGTGTTAAATAAGATATTACTGCTAAAATGTATACAGTTAAAGTATCTTATGGCTATTGTTGTAGGTATCACACCAGTAAATGTCACACCATGGAGGACCTTGATCAGCTCTGTCACTATGGATACCGTGGAGAGGCTATTGCCAGTCTGAAAGATGCATGCTCGATACTTGAGATTACATCTCGTACAAAATATTCAACACCAACATTTAGTAAAATTTTCAACAAAGGAGTATCAATGAAGGTGGTGCAGTCAAGTGTGCAGAGACCAAGTGCTGGTACAACAGTCACTGCGCATGATTTATTTTATAATATGCCAGTTCGAAAAAAGGCCATGAATCCAGTATTGGAGTTTGAGAGAGTGAAGAAAAGGCTGGAGGGTATAGCATTAATGAGGCCAGTAATTTCATTTTCCCTAAGAAATGATATCACAGGCCATGTTGTGCTTCAGACTCATAAAACTAATGGTGTGTTGAATGTATTCACCTCTCTTTTTGGTATAGGGAGATCAAAAACACTGTCACCTGTTGAGGGTCACAGTGGCTGTTTTAGTGTGGACGGATATATAGGAAAAGAAGGCTTTTCAAAGAAAGACTTGCAGTTTGTATACATAAATAAACGTTTAGTATTGAAGACAAAAATTCACAAAGTCATCAATTTCTTACTAGGGAAATCACTGATTCTGAGGAAGAAGGGTGCAATTGATAAACAAGGAGAAAGTAAACAGCAAGAAAGTATTTCATCTTTAACTTCAAGTCCTACAAAGTATTCAGAAAAGTTTGGAGTTTTTGTGGTGAATGTGACATGTCCATATACTGAATATGATGTGACGTTTGACCCTGCCAAAACCTTAGTAGAATTTAAGGACTGGGACTTACTCTGTACTTGCATTGAGGGTGCAGTGTCTGAATTCCTGAAAAGAGAATGTCTTTTATTGGGAATCCAAGAAATGATGGCAGAGGAAAGATTAACTTCAGGTGAGAAGTCTGGTGACACTATAGAGACCTCCACTAATGAAGGCCCTTTTTCTACATCTGAGAATTCTTCTGTATGTGAAGAACAGATAAGTACAAGTAATAACAGAAACTTTCTGACTTCAAAGCTAGTCAAGCGGCAAGTGAAACATGTCTGTGATCAAACAAAAGAAGTCGATCATGAAGATTCAGAAAGGTTAGATACCATGGAAACCAAAGAGAATGTCACATACACAGAAACTGTAGAAAATAACTGTGACGGTAAATTTACTCAAAACAAAGAAAGTGTGAGGAGTTCTGAGTGCAGGATTGATCAGAGAGTAAGTAACACATCTGAGACTGTGAGCAGCTCTGGTCATGCATCTGAAGATGTGGGAGACCACTCCATCCTTTCCTCTACAGACAGCTTAAGGTCCATGTTCAGAGGCAGAAAAAAGTGCTCTGATATAGAGTGTTCTGATAGTGATGACAAAGAGAGTGAAGTAACTGACAAATTTGATGAAGATGGAGATTATGAAAGTGAAGAACCTGTTCCTATATTTGATCGCAACTTTAAGGACAAAGGGAAAGAGCTCACAGATTTAGACAATGAACCAAGAAGTATAATTAGGCTGGAAACACCTTATTTAGGTTGTAATGGAGGTTCTACACTTTCCCTCATCCGTAAACAACACAAATCTAATGAAGAAGGTATGAGTGGTGAGCTGTCAAGTTCTCACAAGATTCACTGTAAGTCTTTGAAGAAACGATTGCAGTGTGATAAAACATCTGACATTAATTATACAATAAAACAGCATAATCAAATGGATCCCCAAGCTAAAACTTCAGAATTATTAATAAATGACATTTATGATTTAAGGCAAACTAAGGAAGTTGTCACACAGAGAGAACAGAGAAAACAAAATAATTGTAGACCCAATGCAGCAGTCCCAAACAAAAATGGAGGAAGTGACATAGGGCATGGAGGATCTTCATCACACGGAGATGCAAATACATTCACATCCAGTCTGCCTCAAAAACGGATCTCAACATCGGGAGAGGCTTCTGTTGCAGCAAAGTTGGCTCGGATGACTAGAATTAGGTTGCAACAGCAAAAATCAAGAGCTTTAGGTAGTGAGCTAGGAGACCAGTGTTCCACATCCTCATCTTACCATTTACGAGATGTTGTAACAAAAACATCTAGAGATAGAGTTGTTTTCTCTTCAGAAGGTCGCCAGGAGATGGTTGCTTCAAAAATTAGTCAGTCAGGAAATCAATACAACTCGTTTGAGAATTCATGTTCAGACATTCTCCTTAACAGGGTTCCAAAAAGAAAAAGCATAGAGACAACAGATAGTTTTTCCAAACTTAAATCATCAGATTCTACAAGAAATATGATTGATTTACCAGCTGCTCCTAAGAAATTTCTGACAACTGCCTCTTTTGTGCAGACATATGATGATGTTATTCAGAATTGTAAAGTCTCCAGAAGCTTATCCCATCAATATTCCAGTGATCATAATGCTTGTGGAAGTGATACATTTACAATGGAATTGTCTAATCCTAAGTTAAAAACAACCACAACAATAGACCACAGTGAAACTTTATCAGATAAATCCACAGATCTGGGAACTTGTCTTGGAAGTAAAACAGACACAGTTGATTCAAGCATGAACACAGGAGTGGGCCATCTCATTAATGATGAAAAACACTTTCATGGTGCTTCATCTGAGTCAGAAGCAGATAACATAAAAGAGACAGTGCTGTTTGAAGGAACACCAAAATTTGTCAGTAAGCTAGACTTGGACAGATGGGATACTAATTCTCAAGATTCCAACACTGATCTATTGTGTTATGAGGTGTTTGATTATTCTCAAACACTGTTAAGTAAGGAAAAGTCATCTAATGTCACAAATATTCAGAAAATTTGCCAGCCTCATGCAATTGATAACTCTCAGCATTGTCAGCAGGATCAACTTGTGTCACTTGGGAATGAAGAAGGTAACAGTATACTCACAATGCAGGGCACAGATAGGTTTGATCCCTGCCTGTCTAGTCCAGAAATCAGTAATAGAGTTATGACTACACAGGGGTCTGACATACCTCAATCTCAAGGCTTTGTTCCTTTATCTGACATGTCAGCTGTGATTGATAAACAGGTTTTTATTGAACCAGTACAGGAATCACAAGGATTTGTACCCATACCTGCATTCACAGAAAATCGTGTTATATCACCCGCTGTTTCAGAAGGCTTCTCACCTGTTATGATGGATGATGTTGGTAATACAAAAACAGATAAGAACTCCAGTAATCAAAGAAGTAGTAAAGATATTTGTGAAGACTGTAACATCAATACTGATTACACTTCCCCCTCTACAGATGAAGGTGTGGAAACCAAGGCAGAGTACCTCAACTATTATTCATCTATAGCAGAATTGTATGAAGATGACATGAGTTATGTGAAAAAAAAGAAAAAGATGTTGAGGAACAGCAGGTCATCTCAAGGCACATCCATCAATATGGAGAGTTCAGAACCCCCAAAACCTCCAGTAATAGAGACAATTTCAGACGATAATCTAAATATTTCAACAGAAAAATCTCAAAAGAATTTGTCCGAAGACTCCTTTCCAACTCAACAAACAAATGAGATATTCAAAACCCAAGTACGATCCAGGAAATGTGAGGATTCTTCCATGTCTGATCAATCTGATGACCCAATAATTTCATCACAGCTTCATGATCTTTGCCAGAATTATAACAGTGACAACAGGACAGCTTCTTTTCAAAATATTGAGGGAAAAGATACCGGCACTGTTGGAAATGATGGAGAGAAAAAGACAGGTTTTGTTGGAAATGATGGAGAGAAAAAGACAGGTTTTGTTGGAAATGATGGAGAGAAAAAGACAGGCTTTTTTGGAAATGATGGTGAGAAAAAGACAGGCTTTGTTGGAAATGATGGAGAGAAAAAGACATTCTCTGTTGGAAATGATGGAGAGAAAAAGACAGGCTTTGTTGAAATTGATGGAGAGAAAAAGACAGGCTTTGTTGGAATTGATGGTGGGAAAAAGACAGGCTTTGTAGAAAATGGAAAGGAAGATGCAGACTCTGTTGGAAGTGGTGAAGTGAATGATACAATTTCTACTGGAAATAAAGAGTTGTCTAACATGTTAGATACAACAACACTGACATGCGATAGAGAACAGAAGTCAACTGAATGCACTGGCTATGGACAACAAAGTTTATGCCAACTTGATGAGACAGACTTCATCAGTAGAAATGTTGTGTGTGACATAATGTCCAATGAAGAGGAGGGGCACATATATGATCAATGCGAGTCGCTGCAGAGTGGTTTGAAAGACAGTCCTGAGAGGGATGAAGGACAGACAGAAGGGTTTGATTCTACTACAGAGATTACATACATTATACCAGACACTGGCAACTCTCAGGTGAGCTGTTTAAAGAAAGAGTCATTTCACAATGATCATCGGGTAGAAAATGCTGATGAGAGCATTGCAACATCCAACAAATGTTCCAGTCATTGTTCACTCAACATGGTTGACCTTGGAAATGGTCATTTTGAGAACAAAAGTGATACAAGTCTGTACTGTAAGAGCTCTTCTGACAGATCAGAGGAGCTTGATGTTCCAGGACTAAGTTCAAAGCAACTTCAAGTACTTCAGACTTCCAACAGGAAAGGTAAATTACCTAGGAACATTGTGAACATTTGTGATAAACATGCAGTGATACCCAAAACTTGTTCAACTGATATATCAGCTGGTACTCACCAGTGGTCTGATGTAGATGAAGGGGAGTTATTGGCGGTTACAGTCAGTGAGCAGACCTGTTGTCAGTTGTCACAAGAATCTCCCACCAACAAGGCTGTAGAGCACAACTATTCTGGTGATGAACAGCCATGGATGGAAATGGAAGATCCCAAAACAGGTCAGTACGACCAAATAAGTTTTAGATTAAGCATACTAAAATGTTTTGATTAGTTTTATTGAACTGAAATGTTACTGACTGGTGATATACACTCCAAGCACAGAACAATGTATAAATCTTTATTGTATTTTAAGTAAGGTGATGTAAATACTCAAATCACTATATATGTTGATAAGTATTAGTTTTAATAAGATTCCAGTCATCTTTACATTGACATGCAGCATTATTTTGAATAACAATTTCAATGCCTTGTATTCATTTCATCTTTAGGATAGAACTGTAATTTCTACTTTTTCTGTTTGTATAGAGTATATGAATCAATCATATTTATAATGAAAAGAAATAGGAGAAAACTATTTCTGATGTAATGAAATGAGATGGTTATGTTTATGTAGGTGAGAAGTTGTATGTAAACAGGATGACAGGCCACACTCGTCCTCGAGATGGAAGTTGGGAACCACCTACTCCAGATAGTAAGTCTTCAACATATAGATATGCATTGTAATATGATGTATTGTACCAGTCACAACAAACCAACCAGTTTATATGTATGCCATTTTTGATGTGTATTATAGTGAAGAAGACTAATTCAAGATTAACAGCTTCTGTGGCAAATTCTGAAGTTGATGAACTTTCACCACAATCCCACAATACATTGCTGAACATGATGTCTGAACATTTGGGGACCTTGGATAAGGAGGAGGAGGAGTTACTATCTGTCAAATGGGCAGGTACAAGATGTTATTCTGAAGGAATGGAAGACAACCAGAACACAGGTAGTTCTCATATCGCTGAATGAAATATTGTCCATCATTTTAATATTGAAGAATTTTCCAGATTTCTGTATTACTATTTTTTGTCTTTAATAAAATGTGGTGTATGTGTTACCATGTTGTATAAGGTTTGTCCACTTCTCTGTTTATCAAGCTTTAGTTTCAATAACTTCTGTACACATTAAACCATTTAACTCCATGTTTACTCTGTCGATGTATCCTAGATCTAGAGAAGTCATGCAATGATTGTCATCCATGCATATTTATAAGTTTTAATCTATTAAGATTGTGTGATTTAGTTTTCGCTCAAAAATATTCCTATATGTTTCCTTATCATCTGGTCTAAAGTTATGGTACATGTACGTGTATTTGTAACAATGATACATGATGTGAATATTAATGCTAGTAAGAGGTACCAACCCATGTGTAATTAAAATATTACAATATTACAACTGTCAGTTTTTGTACGCCTGTCTTTTTTCTTAATAGCACATAGAATTATCAATACGTTTTATTTTACATTCAATTGTTATCATTTATGCAGATACTTTTATTTATTAATGTAACATTTTAGAGCGACTGACTCTACATCTAGTCTCTACTACTGTATTGCATTATCAAAGTTGATATAGGTGAACTAGGTTTGGAACGATTCATTTTCTACAATTTTAGGTCCTGGTTGTTTTTAACAGTATGTGATACCAGACATATTATGCAGCCATTCACATATCACATTATTTTCTGCAATCTTATAGCAAATTAAAAAGACATGAAAAAAATATGTATGAGTTTGAGAATTCAGTATCTTGTGAATTAGAGACATATAGGTCGATTGATATCAATATATGTCACTGGCTAATATTGACACATCCTTTGAATACTTCTGTATTACAGATATGATCAATTCAACCTGTGTAGAAGATCTTCTGGAGAACTGGAACAACCCTGTTTTCACCAGACCAGAACAAGTATTTTTATTTTCTTAGTCTGGATACATGTTTCCACACTTTACTGGTGTTAGATTTTCTTATCTCACCCGATATAGTTAGAATAGTTGGATTAGCCAGTCATGTGCATGTACAAATGTAACAATGGTGTGATGTCATGGGGACATCACAAACCTTGTGTGGCGTGATGCCACACAGCAATTTAAAAATAATCCATGAAAAATGCCAAGCTTTGAGATATGATTAACATTACATACAGAAGAAGGCCATGCATGAGACTGAGAATTTCAGTCATCAGTAAAAGATTTTTAAGATGTCAAACATTCAGGTCCTGTTTGTTTAAAAGCTGATTAGAGATACCCAGTGGTAAGCAAATATTTTCAAACAGGAATTCAATAAAAATTAGGATCATAACTTATTCATACACAGCTAAAGGTTTTTTGAGATTGGTCACATTGATAAATACTTTTTAGAATTAATTTTGCCTTTAATGATCCTGTTTGTTAAGGGGCAGCGATTTGAAGTTTTCACTAACCACTGGTTAACTCTTAAGTAATCTTTGAATGACTAGGGCTTACATGCCAATAGTGTTTGCATCATCAAGAATTTTGCCCCTTGTGCTATGAATCCCTTATTTCACCTCTAAAGGTTTAAAAAAATACTTGGTTCATAGTGTGTGTAGGGTAGACAACTCTTTTACTTTTATAGTTATATTGTTATTATGATTAAGTGAGGAGAACCTTCGGAATATTTTCGTTATTTTTTGCTGACATGCTTTTACATGCTTTTATGTAAAATTAACTTAAAAATGTCATATTCTTGCCAAAAAAAAAGACTTTTAGTGTATTTTGCAGTAAGCTAAAAACTTACCATTAAACAAAATGTGACTTGTCCATCTGAAAAAAAAAACACAACTTGCTAACTGTTTGGGTCACAAGTGGCTTAATCAAATGTTTTCTGATCCCAAAATCAATGCATATTTTATTATTTGACTTCATTACAACTTTATAAACAATTATAAGGTTTTCTTAATCCAGCCATGGTATTATACAGACATTCACCACCAGAAAGAGGTGTAAAAGTACATTGTGAGTGTTATTTTAGAAGCTGCAATTATTGTTTGTTAAGGAGATAGCAGCAGCTGTGGAGACAAGCAGAAGGACACGGGGCTCAGCCAGAGTACAGAGTGTCCTCCACTCTCACAAGTTCACCAAGGATATGATACAGGACATCAAGGTTAGAGCACAGCATTTATAGCCCCCACTCCCTCCACTCAAAACCCAAAATGCCAAGGATGATTGGGTGGTGCAGTGATAGCACACTTGCCTTTCACACAGGCATCCAGGGTTTGATTCCTGGAACGGAGGTGAAAAGGTATGGGGTCACCTGCCTAACCACATGAGTTTTCCTCATTGCAAAGATCCCTTGTGCACTCCCATACATGCCAACAAAAGTGACTGATATAAGCTTAAAGCTTGTTTCACAATTGTTGTTGAATAGATAAAGTTTATATGAAACCCAAGTCAGTGGCTAAACTTTTTATCAGATTGTGTTTTAGCTTGATATTTTTAGACACTGACATGTAATCTATTTATCCTATATGAAAATTCAGACTATCACAATGTCTTTTCAGTGTTTATCTGATGTTGACGCTATGCTGAATTGTGTCTGTTGACACACGTCAAAATAATAACACTACATGGAAACGATGTAGTACCACATTTCAATGGATATAACAAGCAATTTTATGGCTTTTCGTAAATAACCTTTTTTGTTACAACAAATGATAATTCTTATTTGAACAGATATCCATATTTTAAAATGAAATATCCAAGTAACTCAGAAAGTAATTCTGTAGAACTGATGTACTTGCTAAAATACAGCTTTTTTTCCATCACTACCCAATACAGCAAAAATATACTTGGTATGTGTTAGGTGTATTCGGACAATGGCAGCACAGTTGCAGGTTTATGAGATTTATAAGTAGCGAAATAAATAACTTCAGTTTACTCCTGGTTACAAGATATAAGTATCTATAGTTGATAAATCTTTATTAGCAGGAATATTACACCTACAGATTGTGGTAATATAGTGAAACAATTGACATCACGCTGCCATCAGGTACATTTTGTCCCTGTGTATGAAGTGAACAATAGAAATGTTGGATTTTATATGTTGTAGGTTATTGGACAGGTAGACAAAAAGTTCATCGCCTGTATGACAAGTTGCAAGAGGAACAACATAGCTACAGGTAAGCTAAAGCTGGCAGATATAGTCAAGTGAAGCAATGAAATGTTTGTCCGAGGAGACAACCAGCATCACCTAGAGAATATTCTTTAAAATCCTAAGAAAGATTGGATTTTGTCGAAATTTGGTTGGAATCATGTGTCGGTTAAAAGAAATCAAATTTGTATAAACAATGGATTTTGCACTTGCCCCCCTGGGGCAGCAGGGGTGGGGCCCAATAGGGGAAATAGAGCAAGTTCTTTAAAAATCATACTCCTCCTGTGGGAATGATTGGATTTTGCCCAAATTTGGTGTGAATCATGTTTTCATGAAGGGGTATCAATTTTGTATCAGTGGTGGATTTTGCCACCTAGGGCAGGAGGGGAGGAGCTGAATAGGGGAAATGTGTTTGAAGGCATAAAAAGATAAACACAATAGTGACCTAAGAATTGGCCCTTGAGTCTAGTCGCACTCCTAGGGACTCCAGTTTCATGGTAATATCTTTGAAACAGTTAAGATCCCCACACCTAAACCATTTATGGCAATGTTTGGCATCAAGAGATAGACACATTCACAAAGCAAGAACTGGACCCTCTGGGTGATATCTTTGAAACTGTTGAAATCCCCACCCTGTAACCATATATATATATATATATAATTGCTTGGCATCAAGACATAAACACATTTGTTATGTAAGAATTTGCTCTTGGGTGTGGCACACCTCAAAAAACATTGTTTCTGGGTCATATTTTTGATAAAATTCAGATACCACCTGAATTGGTTGGCAGTTAATGTTACTTATTTTAAAATTCTGAAATGACTTAAGAGTTATCAAGAATATTTGCCACATCAATGACAAAATCTGGTGCTGAAAAACACGATTTTACTGACTGTGTCGCTACTGTCACTGTTATTTCTGCTTACCATCATGTGTTCATCTTTACAAAAGAACACACCTTCATTATCAAAACTATCAAGTAACATTATCAGTGCTAAATTTCCAAAACCAAAAAAATGGTCAAGCTGGACACTGGAAATGGACTTTGAATATCAGGATAGCATAGAAACGTACATGTAATGGATAGTATAAAAAAAAACATGTAAATCATTGAAAAAATTAATGTTTTTTACTGTGATATACCTCTAAGCATCAAGATATACTGGACAGGTTCAAGTTTTTTGGGTCAAGGTCACTGTCACTCATTTTAAAAAATATGTCAATCACTACAGTGTAATACATGTAGCTTGTATAGTTTCATTAATACTCAGTAAGGTCTTTATAACTGATACAGTTGAAAGAATGATCTTGCTTTATGCCCTAATTACATCTGGCTCCTGCACTCGATATATTTTGATATCTGTACCCTACATAGTAAAATTGTTAAAAAAAATTGATGACATTAAAGACTGACCAGAGAAGTTAAAGGATTATGATGTCTTAAATACATGCCGACACCAAAATTCTTGAATCGTGACCTGAAATATCACCCTTCATCTAAGGTCTGTCATAACCTTAGGGGAAGAACTGTGTTGCATGGTTCAATGGTTCCTGGTGGTTTGTGCTGAGAAACAGAGCAGTATGTGCTGGCATGGTTGTTTCATTGGGCAAAATACTTTACCCTCTTTGTTTTGGAGAATTGGTGATGGGCCTCCTGTATGTTGTTCAGTGAGGTAGTACCAGCTACTCTCGGTAAACCCTGCTTTGCAAAGCAATTAATCTACCAGCACACAATCGGACATGTAAATGCAGTATACAAGATTCTTGGTGTTACTTCCTATTAGCAGTATATCTATTTAAAGATATCAACACAGATTTGTTAGTTTTCAGCATTTATGATGTGTACTCTTAAGTAAATCAGATTTAGTTTTTTCTTAATCGTCTTCTCTGTTAATGTCTTTCAGCTCCAAATCTGATGTTACTTTTTGACCAGCATGCTGCTCATGAGCGTGTACGCCTAGAAAAACTTACCAAAGGTAAATCATTTTGAGCTTAAAGTTACCAACAACAAGCTTGATTCCAATTTTATTTTCTAAAAGGTGATCTCTGCAAAGCATGCTTTCATCTCTATTTATTTTATTATATTTATTGATACAGACGCCTACGAGAGAGACAATAGAATTTGTCGCTCCACCGTTACACCTGCCAAACATTTGACACTGGAAGAGGAGGAAGTGCGAGTGATGGTGTCATATAAAGAGGAATTCTACAGGATAGGTGAGGACTTGGCTGGTATTTAGTAGAATCCAGTGCCATATGTGTTCCTGATATTTGAATTTCATCGTTTGATAAACAGCTGGTAAAAACTAATGTACATTTATTATACAATTTTTATTTTAACCAGGTGTCGAGTTTAGCACAGACAAGCAAGAAAGGGACTGCATCTTTGTACATACAATCCCAGCATGCATCATGCAGAAGGAGGTCAATGAGGTTAAACGAAAGAGGGCTTCCATTGCATGGAATGTTGTTCTGGTAATTATAATGGATAGAAAATCAAATTATTGAACATGAATTTTGATTGTTTATGTATGAAGTGGACTTTTATTAAACCAGTTAAACATGGGACTTAATCATTTGACTTAATTTAAGGAGTGTTCGCTTTCCAGACGTGATAGAAGTTAACTGTTCAATATTGAATGTAGTTGCTCCAATACTGCTTTTATTTTGATGATACGAAGGCATGTATCCAAGTGTATATCAATAGATTCAGTATTATGTTTGTCATGTTTTTACTGTCCTCATTGGAAGCTCTTTTATAAGGCCGTCCTATTCTGATTATCGACCATCCTATATCTGTGGGTGTGTGCATGCATGTAAAATACAGTGGTGTTATGTTGAATTTTTGTACTGTTCACTATGCACACTTTACACTATATACAGCAATAACACACATTTAAATGTTCTTCTAATACTTCAGACTATTTCGAAGTAGAAGAAATTAATTTACTAAAACCATGACAGTCTGTTAGCCCTTGTAATTATATCTACCCGTTTTATGGGAAGAGTGAGATAGTCCCACTACTTCCTTAGCTAATTTCACATGTGCTGCCAAGTTAGTGCATTGTATTTTTTTTAAGTTAATGCATGAATGCAAAAAAAGACGAGATATGTGAGGGAAAAACAATAAAAATTGGTAATCCTCTGTTGTTGCATACCGAGTACTTGTATACTGTTTATGTAGGAATTCCATGCTTATAGTAAGTATAGGCGCTAACCTATATTTAGCCAGTCACTATAATACCCATGGTACTCAGTAAGTAAATTATGATTACTAGTATACAGTCAAGATATGGCTGCAACAGAAAACCTTTTGATTACTTCGGAAGTAATTCAATTTGCTGTTAAAAAACATTAATGGATTGCATTTTGAAATAACATTTCTGATTATTTATTTCAGAATATGTTGAAAGAACATGTAGAGGTAAGTGTGAAATCAGTAACATTATCACTGTATCAATCAGATGTCCACAAGGTATTATTTATATTTAAAATGTATATGTGATGTGGACATTAGAATATACTTATATGATAGTGATAGAAATAAGGGATGATACTGGACAATACTTGTGAACTAATGTGTCACAAATGATATGACAAAGTGGCTAAATCACATCAGACGAGATGTCTATATATTCTGTGTGTTTAATGTTAATTTACTGTTTCCTTTATACTCCGGTACATAGATGTTAATTGGTACCAACGGTGTCCTCGGACGACTACCAACTACACTACATAAGGTTCTGTGTTCCCAGGCCTGTCATGGTAAGTGTTCACTCTTTATGACTTACACAGGTACTATAAGTTCTACTGATTCCTGTGTTACTATACAGTTGCTATGTAGTTTTCTTTATACCTGTATATGCATGCAATAGCTATTTCACTCTGTCACTTTAGGTGCTATAAAGTTTGGAGATCAACTTTCATTAGAAGAATGTGAGGAGCTCCTTCATTCGCTGGCCAAGTGTGACCTCCCGTTCCAGTGTGCCCATGGTCGACCCTCCATCATGCCTCTGCTTGAACTTGATAAACTACAACCAAGTCCTGTAAGTTAATGATAATTGTACTTGAGGTATCAATATTATAAAAAAGTATTTCTACCAAAAGCAAAATCACAATTGTCCAATTGACGCACATTTATTATACAAAAGTATTCGAAGACAGTTTTATTTATTTCTCACTAACAATCCATGCATTTGATAAGAATACTCCCCAAAGCAGATCCATTGAATACAGTCAAACTTTCAACCATTTCTCTTTCTGTCCATAAGGTGAAAAAACCAAACTGTAGCTCACATTTTAAGTTAGAGCTACAATATATGTTAGTATGCTTTTAGAGCAAATTTAATACTTTGAAAAATGATAATATCTTAATTGGAGGGCAAAAATAACTGCAGGCAAATGATTGTGTTTAATCATTAATGTGAAAAATTCAGTCCTCCTATTACCATAATAAAGTACACTTTAGCCTGCTGGATACTAAGTCTTGTTCACATTACAACACTAACTCCATAGATGTTTGATATTTTACACCATTATCTTGACTGGTAATAAACTAATATGCATGCTCACTTAAACTTAATTAGACTTTATGTTTATTCCTCTTTCAGAAAACAACGAAACCAAACCTGTGGAAAATTTCAAAACATCTTCAAACAAGCTGACAGCAGGCAGTGTATACTATGTGTAGATAGATGAGATGACATATATATATTTGATGTTCTAATTTTACTCTACAGGCTGGACCTTTGTATCTTAAAAAGATATTTTTGAAATTCAAATAGCTGTGATAACATTGATTAAGCTATCAAATAAGCTGAGGAGGTCGTAATATATCCTCTGGCTTAAAGTCAGGAATGTGCTTAAAATAGGACACTGAAATAGTAGTTATTGATAATTATACTAATCAGCAATCTATATGAGTGGGCTTATTGCTGGATAAATCAGTAAGTTTTAGGTGACATTGTTTGTCATTAATGCAACAATGCTTGTTACAGTTCTTTATGACAATGAAGGTCAGAACTGACGCATGGTTTGTGATAGTGAAGGCTTGGATTGTAACACTGTATGTGACATTGAAGGCCTGGATTGTAACACTGTATGTGACAGTGTAGGTTTGATCTGAGACCCTGTATGTGACAAGGTAGTTCTAGACTGAGACCCTGTATGTGACATTGTATGCCTGGACTGGGACCATGCATGTGACAATGTAGGCCTCGAATGCAACATTGCATGTGTCAGATCTTAGTGACAGCATAAGTCTTGAATATGACACTGTGTGTGACAGTATAGTCCTGTACATAGACCCTACATGTGGCATAGTAGGCCAGGACACAGACATTGTATGTGACAGTATAGACATGGTCTGAGACCCTGTATGTGAAAGTGTAGGCTTGGACTGCAACCATTTATGTAAAATTGTAGGGCTGGATTGGGACCCTGCATGTGGCAATGTAAGACTTGATTGTGACATTATGTTGCAGTATAGGCTTGGTCGGAGATCCTGTATGGGACAGTGTAGGCCTGGACTGAGGCCCTGTATGTGACATTGTAGGCCTGAACTGGGACCCTGCATGTGACAGTTACATGTACAAAATGTATATGTGTCGTCATAGGCGTGAACCTAATTTACTTGGCAAACAATATGAACCTATTTAGGTCTTAAGGTTAATTTATATGTGTTGTAATGTTGGTGAAATACTCATTATTATTGTTGAATTATTTATTTATTTGATTTAGTTGGCAGGATTGCTTGAATTATAAATTATCAAAATGATAACAGGAAAAAAGTTATGAATATTGTTTTTTCAGCGGTACAATTGTACAGGCCCGTTTTTCTGAAAATTTTCCTAAAGATTCAGCTCTCATAGATGATGTCAACAGAGAGGGCTACTGTTTCTGGTCCCTTGTCAGCTTTGTTATTGAAGAAAGCTTTTTTACTATTGGTTATAAACCAATCTTGTTGTAGAGAATGAATTATTCACGTCTCTAAGTTTGTTATTGTCCTGTTTTATTTAGTACTTTGTAAAACTTATTAATTCTTGTGTCCCTGCATTATTAGTTCATTTTATTACAGTGAACTTATTTCTCATTCTCTAAATGTGTTTTATTCCTGTATAACACTTATTTCAAATGTATACCTCGAGGTTTGTCGCAAAAAAATATGACAGTGCCAAATAGACAACCAATCCTGAAAACAGCATAAATTGATTACGAAGTATCACTTAAATTAGAGTTGTCTCCCTTACACCAGTCCTGTTTTACATACCCATTCCGGATTTCCTGTTTAGAACTGTTGTGTTCCCATGTTGAGAGCTAAATGTATGTCTTAGATCCTTCAGAATTAAATTCAACATGTTTGATTATTGTAAATTATTGCCCACTTGGATCGTTTTCTGTCTCCTGAGCCAGAATATATTTTACTGTAGAGAATTAAATTTACATGTACCATGTAGTTTGTTGAAATTTTATTGTAAACAGTGCAATACCATAAATACGATAATTATTACTGTTAACTGTTGACTTACGCTGGTAATTGTTTGTTTTTTGAAGTTCATAGAATCCTTTCCAGTCATAATTTTTTAAGACTTTATTTTGAGTCGTGTTTTGAACAATATAACTTTAGCTCAGTAGAGCTATTCTTACGACTTTCATGTCAGTAATAAAATAAAATATAAGATGTTCATTTATTGTACAAAAGACACAAAATTGAACAGTACCTTCCACTACAAACTTGTAGTTAAATACAGAAGAATTAAACAGCATCATACAGCTGTTTTGTCATGTGACAGAGTGATGCTAAGGGTCCAAATTGCCAACATCCTGGAGGCGATTGAGGAAAATCTAAACTGGTTGAAATAAATATCAGAGACTAGATGGGAAGGTGCACGTAACCAAAAGTTGAAAAAAGAGGGGGAAAATCAATAGTGAAGGATTTTGAAATATTGTACTTGTGTATACACTTATAGATTTTAATGAGGCGTACAGGTTACTGCAAACCTTGAGGACTGAATGTTCACCATCAGTCTCTACCACCTGCAATCTGAAGATTGAACAAAATACTCCCAAATAAAAAGCAAACTATTTACCATTAGTACATGGCATCGATGCCAGATCTCTGTTCCATTAGCTATACTTATTTTCTTTTGGATGATCATTGCTGTTTGTTTATATACATGTTATTGTGCCATATATAAAAGCATAGTAGCGCTACACAATTACCTGCTCAGTGTAATAATTACATATTGATAAATTACACGTACTTCACCTGCTCAGTTTAGTAATTACATTTTTATGAATTACACGTTCTTCATCTGCTCAGTGTAGTAATTACATTTTGATAAATTACACGTTCTTCATCTGCTCATTTTAGTAATTACATTTTGATAAATTACACGTACTTCACCTGCTCAGTGTAGTAATTACATTTTGATAAATTACACGTTCTTCATCTGCTCATTTTAGTAATTACATTTTGATAAATTACACGTACTTCACCTGCTCATTTTAGTAATTACATTTTGATAAATTACACATTCTTCACCTGCTCAGTGTAGTAATTACATTTTGATAAATTACACGTTCTTCATCTGCTCGTTTTAGTAATTACATTTTGATAAATTACACGTACTTCACCTGCTCAGTGTAGTAATTACATTTTGATAAATTACACGTTCTTCATCTGCTCATTTTAGTAATTACATTTTGATAAATTACACGTTCTTCATCTGCTCATTTTAGTAATTACATTTTGATAAATTACACGTTCTTCATCTGCTCGTTTTAGTAATTACATTTTGATAAATTACACGTAATTACATTTTGATAAATTACACGTTCTTCACCTGTTTAGTTTAGTAATTACATTTTGATAAGTCACCAGTTCAGTGATTAGTAATTTTAACGTACATGTGTAATTAATTACTTGTATGTTCCTAATGACTTACAGCTGGTATGTCATTACGTGTGTAACTTGTGAGCAGTTAAAATAAGATAATTACATCGCTTCTGTGTAACACTGGTTGTCTTCACTACTAGCAGAAAAAACAACATTTTTACAGTAAAAGACTTATTTGACAACTAATTAATGAAAGTTGTTTTATGGTTGTTTGACAAACCAGATTTATCGTATTGTATATGGAAGTTGTATACGAATAAAATTTACAAATGACGGCAGGTTAAAAAAACACCTGCTGGGAAAGGATGGCAATAATGCAGATAAAAGAAGTTTTCTTACAAGAAAAATATTGTCTCGTTTTTTCCATTGTCCATTGAATAATTGATCAGTATTTCAGATATAGCTATGATTATACTAATATGACATAGTTGCTACATTGTACCGCGGATGATTGAAGGACATTATTGTACCGAGGGTGACTGAAAGAAACTTTTGTACCGAGGATGATTGAAGGAAACTATTGTGCCGAGGATGATTGAAGGAAACTATTGTACCGAGGATGATTGAAGGAAACTATTGTGCCGAGGATGATTGAAGGAAACTATTGTACCGAGGATGATTGAAGGAAACTATTGTGCCGAGGATGATTGAAGGACATTGTTGTGCCGAGGATGATTGAAGGACATTGTTGTGCCGAGGATGATTGAAGGACATTGTTGTGCCGAGGATGATTGAAGGACATTGTTGTGCCGAGGATGATTGAAGGAAACTATTGTGCCGAGGATGATTGAAGGAAACTATTGTGCCGAGGATGATTGAAGGACATTGTTGTGCCGATGATGATTGAAGGACATTGTTGTGCCGAGGATGATTGAAGGAAACTATTGTACAGTTGATGAATTGCTGTAGTAGATAAATTACTTCATTGGAGAGGATCATCTACTCTACATGTACTTTTCCTAAAGTCGAGTTGATGAAACAGTTGACGAACAAAACCATTGGTAAAAACTGACGGAATTAAATTATAAACAGTCTACTACATTTTATTTTGACAGGTTACGTTTGTTGAATGATATATATTCCTGTCTAAGTCGTTACCGCTGCTTCTTCTTAGGCACTGAATGTAACTCATGTTCTTAACACGTTGTGTCACGTCACACCAGCAAAAATGACAGTCTCAATCTATTTCAAAGTCGGGCGACCGTGGACTTGAGACTTCGGATTAGGAAGCTTTCCTTTGACCTAAAGTAAGATTTTAGCTTTATTGGGGTCAGGAAGCTTTCCTTTGACCTAAAGTAAGATTTTAGCTTTATTGGGGTCAGGAAGCTTTCCTTTGACCTAAAGTAAGATTTTAGCTTTATTGGGGTCAGGAAGCTTTCCTTTGACCTAAAGTAAGATTTAAGCATTATTTGGGTAAGGAAGCTTTCCTTTGATCCAAAGTAAGATTTTAGCTTTATTGTGGTCAGGAAGCTTTCCTTTTGACCTAAAGTCAGATTTTAGCTTTAATTTGGGTTATGAAATATGTATATTATATTTACATGTAGCTTTAGGGCGAGTTTGATGGGCTTGACAGACGTATTAGAAAATGCCACAATCCTCCAACTAACCCTACCCAGTTGGCTGCAGCAACATTGATATAAATCCTATAGAATCCGTGCTGGGATTTCTCACACCAGGTACTGAAGTGGCATTTTTCTATGCGTGGGTATCCCAGTCGGAACGACTACCAACAATATTTAAGTTTACAGTATTGTAAAGAATAGGATTATCCCTTTATACTGATATCACATTTTGTACAAACACTCCAAACAATCTTAACGTATCAATTGCATAACTTGATTTTCCGTTCCACTTTTGTCGAGCATAGACTGGAGTAGGTCTAAACCACCAGACTACATTTTATATGAGAGAGCCCTAAAGATAGCGATGAAAATGACATAGATGTATATTGCAAATGGTCACACGAAATGTCAGAACGTTAACTGATTTACCCTATCAGGAAGACTTCCTTAAGCCCGCCACTGCCTCGTAAGCCGGACAAGAGCCACGGGGGCTTCACGGTAGCCCGAGTTTCCGCTGACTGCTTACGTACATCCGACATGGCCGTCCAAACCTCTTTCCGTGTATATGTTGAACGTCGGATGGAAGTACCCAACCTTTGCTTCACAACACATTCGACTTACATCTCACTTTTACATTTCCACAAGAAATTAAAAAAAAAATAAAAGAAACAAGTGATAAAATCCCTCCTGATTAGAATAGTAAAAACTCAAAACAATATCAAAGAATCTCCATTCTAATCGCCATTCATCTGGGGGGAAAACAAAAAACAAAAATGAGTAAATAGATAAGTAAGTGTAAGCGTGATATAAAATGGAATCATTTTCCGGAACATCCTTCCCTTCCTTGATTCTAATATTGCTATTATATGACTTTTTAACCGCCATGATTCGACTGCAGGTAAGTGGCATGATATTGATAATATACTCCACATACAATCTTCAGCATATGATATATATAATAGATGTGAAAATAGGATGCAGATATCTGCAACATTCTGTAACGATTAAGCTGGTGAAAGCACCGTCGTCTGACAATCGGTTTGTTTACATGTCGTAGCTCGCTTGAGCAACTGAATTCAGTAGACAATGATTGTAAATGTCCATTTTACGGTCTCAAATGTGTTTGCACATGAGTTCTGAATGATAATGATTGAATGTATAGGTATAAACGTTGTTAATTCGATATATAATTGTCTCATTAGTTTTATCGACGGTCTCTCACGGTCCTTCAAGGTTTCAAGGTTTTATTCAGTCACTGACACACTTGCGTGTGTAACAAGAGGTCACATACACATAATGTACATGATACGTGGCGTATGACAGGTACAATTACAACAATTTCTGTAAATGATAGTAATAATTACTATCTATCGCATTCATGTATTAACAACTTGGTACTTAAATTTGAACACTTAAATCAACAATTTATCAAGTTTTTCTATAAATCTACAAATACTTGTACATGTAAATGCATTTTGACATGACTTGGGTAAGTAAAGTAATATGTTGGTATATATTTTTCTCTTAGACGTTTTACTGATTCGTTTTCACATTTAAATAACAGATCTCTCAGATTCGCCATTTTAAG